TCAGTATCTGGTTGCTGTGTGGCAGCCACTTGCTGCCTGGCTGAAGAAGACAACCTCCAGTACAGGTGGAGAGAAGTGTGTAAGCTTCTCCCAGGAGAGGAGACTGTCCTTTGAATGGCCTAGCTGCTCTAAGGAGCCAGGAAGCCATTAAACTCAGTTCAAGCTTATTCACTTGTTTAGCGTGTTTTCAAAGATTGAAGGCTGCCACTGGGTTCCTTTGAGCTGCACTGAGGAACTACAAGGGGCAGCATTTGTAAGAGGGTCCCCTGCAGCTGTAAGGCTGCCTAGGCCTGCCCCAGCGTTCGGGGGATGGCACCTGGGGTAACATCCGGCCGCTGGAGTGCAGGTGCATCTAGGCACTCCAGCCTGCTATGTACCCAGACAGCCAAGGACCAGAGGCCACAGCTGGTTCAGGGCCCATCACCCAGCACCACCGCTTAATCCCTAGGGATAACCCATTTCTTTGACAGTACCTCATCTTTAGATGGATAATGTGCTGGGCATGGTGGCCCATGTCTTTAATTCCAGAACAACCACCAAAACAGCGGTAGCTAAATTGGCAGTGTTCGTCTGGCATTCAACAAGGCTCTAGGTTCAATCCTAACAGGTGGAGGCTGCATGGATTTAAAAAAAAAAAATTCAAGGTCATCTTCAACTACATAGTCAATCTCGCGTGGGGAATCTTCCAGGGGCCTCACTCCTTCCGTGTCATTCTCCGGCCTTTCAACATACACTTCCACTAAAGACTCGCCCACACACACAGCCCTCAAGAGTATTGAAACTCAAGCCAGAAAAATATAAAGAATTCCAGCAAATTTCCAATTCTTCCCATAACTACATCGAAGCCAGGTCCAGAAGTGCAAGTTTATCTCCACCGACTTACCCTGGGGAACTCCCTAGCTGAAAAAGTCACCTCCTCGGAAGCCTTCCTGGGACTCGCCTCTGCCCTGGGTGTCCTTCCAGCTCCCCCTAGCGCAGCACTTACCAGTGGGATTGGGAGCTAACCCCAACCAGGGAGCACCCAGCCTCGAGGAGCGCTTACTGGACCACAGATAAACGAAGAAGAAAGGAGGGGAAAGGATCAAGCTGACATCCTGCCAGGATGACCGTCCAGCCGCGGTACCCGCAGCAACAGGAACCCAGGCTTCCCGTACGTTGGGTTCTAGAAACGGGCTGCGAAAGGTGGAGCCGGCCGGCTGGCTAAGAGGATGTGTCGTACGGGATCTGGTGGGTCCCGGGTCTTGGCAGCCCTACAGGAGGGTGAGCAGCAACTGGGATGGGCGTGGCCTGCACCTGTGAGTGCTTGCACGTGCGCGAATCCCGCCCTCCCCCCCCACCCCCACTCCGCAGCTGGAGGCTCCCCAGGATCTTAACGGAGTGAGGTATTGACACCCAAACTTGATACTGGATCATAGTGCCAGGTGACTCAGTGACCTAAACTCACATGCAGTGAGCCAATGGCAGCTTCCCGTGGTCCCTGCTTCCAGTCCTACTCTGATGCTCTGTGGACTAGGTCCCCTGAGAGGAGGTCACATCTGCAGGTTCAGGGTTTTAGTTGAGAGCTGTATCTCCTACCCCTTCGACTGGGAAAGGCAGGGAAGTTCCCGATGAGCACTTACTGTAGGCAGACCCAGCACATCCCTAGTGTGCGTGGGGCTTTAAGCAGTCAGCCTCAGTTTCTCCCTGTCCTCAGGCCCTCCCAGAGGTCATCACTTCCAAGTAGCTGGCCACTGGGAGAGGCCCTGCAGCTCCCTGTCCTCAAGAGAAGGTGTAGACTTAATGAACACCGGCTCCTAAAGGAACTGCAAAACCTTGCTTCTGGAATGTGTCAGGAGAGACTGTCGTAACAGCACATACATAGTGACACTTTGGTTCATTTAGACAAGGGTGACATATTATGGAGGGCTAACCAACTGCTAATTCCCAGGCCTGCTATCATTATGACTGAATATTCCAGAATATTGTCACAAAGACTAAGCTATTGGTGTGGGGCAGATTGCTGGAGAAGAGATGAAACCCAGCACCAAGAAGTGTCAGAGGTTGGGACTGTCCAGGAAGACACCTTGCACATTTTCTTTTCCAGAAGGAGACCTGCTCTTCCCCACCCTAAAATTGAGATTGGGTCCTGGTTCCCACCAGTCCTCTATCCAGAATGCTCTGGGCAGAGCCAAACATCAGGGTGGCCACTTGAGAATGTTAGAAATACATGAAGAAACCGAGAGGCCAAGATTCTCGGGGCTCCACTGACAATCCATTGGAAACAGTAAAGGAAGCTCGGCAGCATCGTACGGCCAGTTTTCTGGTTGGCTCCTTTGTGGTTTTCTTCCCGGGAAATGTGAAATGATGATCATTCCCAGGAACGGGGCCATTTGTTCCTAGATCCTTTGCATCCAGCACCATGTCTGGTTCGCTGCAGCTCCTCAAAAGGTGCTTGTTTGCCCTGTGAGTGAGTCGAGGTATTCCCACAAAACCCTGGAGTCTTACAGTCAGAACATCCCTTGGAAGGCCCATCCCCCCTAGAGCATGTGCTACCAGAATGAAATTTTGTATTCATCCCACCTGGTCCAGAGGAAAGTGACATCCCAACGCCCCGCCCCCCATCACTGAGCTGGCTCTGGTGAAGAGGACCTGGAGTCTCAGAGTAATGGGTCCCTCATTCAAGAGTGCATGATTTCTTGCCCCCTTTTCTTCCCTTGCTTGTCTTAAAAGGCTGGAGGAGCTGGAGAGATGGCTCAGCAGTGGAATTCCTTATCCAGAGGACCTAGGTTTGATTCCCAGCACCCACATGGTAGTTCACAACTGTCCGTAACTCTGGAGTTACAGTCCAGTCCCAGGGGAACTGACACCCTCTTCTGGTCTCTGTGAGCACTGGGTACTCATGTGGCACACAGAGAGGCATGCAGGTGAAACACCCAAATACATAAAATTATATATATATATATATATATATATATATATATATATATGACAGGGTTTCTCTATATAGCCTAAAGATCCACCTGCCTCTGCCTCCCAAGTGCTGGGATTAAAGGCCATCACACCCGGCTTAATATATATATTTAATTTATATATATATATATATATATATATGTACATATTATATGTGTGTGTGTTTCATTTAAAGAAGCTTGAGAAATTGCACCTGAGCTGATAGAGATGGGGGTAATGAGCAGTTAATTTTGCTTCAGCACCTGGAGTGGAGGAGGCTAGAGAGAAATTAGACATCCCCCACACACACCCATCCCTCACCTTGCTCATCCCATTTCCGGGGTCCCCTTTCCCGTATTTTGTATCCCATGGTTGTTGCCCTCCAGGAAAGACTGCCCTCACACATGAGTCCAGAGGGCCAGGCACAGAGACAGGACTCCTGCATCTTAGGATATAGTACCCTCCACACCCTGAGATGCCTTGAGAACACAGGATGAAAGCTAGGTGTAGTGGTACATGCCCGTGATCTCAGCCCTCAGAAGGTCGAGTCAAGATTGGAGGTGGTGTTACACAACTTTAATTCCAACACTCAAGAGGTAGAGGCAGGCAGATCTCGGTGCGTTTGAGACCAGCCTGGTCCACACAGTGAGTTCCAGTACAGCCTGGACTACAGGGTGTGACTTTATATCAAGCAATGCAAGGAAGGGGAAGTAGGAAGGCAGGGAGGGAGAAACTTAATGTGACCCACAGGAAGAGAAATCAGGGGCCTAGTTAGGACTCCCCAGCTGTGGGGTTGAGCAAGTGCCCTAAACAGCACTCTGCCTGTAGGCTCCTATGTCTCCGTTCATCCATTCCCTATTGTACTTACCCATGCAACAAAATACACCTGGACAGGCATGGCAAAGAACAATTTATGTTGTTATTGTGGGAAAAAAATGGTTTCATGTAGCCCAGGCTGGCCAACTTATTTATAGCTGTGGATGGCTTGAACGCCTAATCCTCCTACTTCTGCCTAATGAGTCCAAATAAGGTACTGCAGGCATTCAACATGCACCAAAGGGCAATTGCTTGGCTCCTGCTATGATGGACCTAAGACTTGGGTGAGTATATGATATAAGGAGAAAAAGAATTTTTGAGTTTTCTCTCAGCCTACTCATATCCCCAGCATTGGCCACATACTACCTGGCACACAGGTCCCCAGCATGTTCTCTCCTCCCTCTTCTCTGTCAGGTCCCAGTCTACCCTCTGAGGACTGTGCCTCTGAATTCCCTGCTACAAACTGGCATAGCTCTAGGCCTTACAGCTCAAACATCCAGAGCCCCTACCTGCCCCCAGAGAAGGTGTCCGGATCCTCCATGGAAGGGGCAAGTACTCAAACTTGTCTTTTCTTTTCTCTTGTGCTTTCATTCCCTACACACACACACACACACACACACACACACACACACACACACACACACACACTCTTGTTCTTCCTTTGGCAGTCCCCTGGGATCCTTTTTTCTTTGCCAAAGGTTCTCATCCTCCCTCTGAACACTAATTTCCCCTTTCCCTTGCCCATTTTAAATTCTGGCTGAAGAGAGAAAAGGGAAGGCACACACATACCCCTGTGCCTTTGTCAGCCTTGGAGGCATCTCTCCTGGAGATGCACCAGCAATCTCAGGCTCTAAGTGTCCAAGGAGGGTACCCTCAATCTTCTGGCATTTAGGGGACGGCAGAAAATTCTGGCTTCTGCTCACAGTAGCCTTGCAGCTCCGCAGAACACCAGCATGCCAAATCCACAGACCTATCCGGAGATGACAAGGACTTTGCCATGTCTGAACTTCTCTGTCTCTTCTCTCTCCCCAGTTGCACGGCCGCAACTCTAAGCAGGTGAAGTTGTCGTCTGTTTACAAATAGGGATGAAAAGGGTGCCTAAATTTCCATCTAAGAAATGGTGGGCCCGAGAGACTGGCTATCCACTACAACATTAGAGCATCACACTTTTTTCCCTTTCTTTCGTGTTTGTTGGGCATAGAATCCAGCATATGCCACATGCTAGGCAATGCTCTACCATTGAGCTACGCATCCAACACCCATCTCTAAATTTTACTCTCACAGCAATCCTATGAAGTTGACAGCTCCTCCAAGAAGGAGAATCAGCAGTTCAGAGAAGCGAAAGGACTCTTTGGAAGCCACAAAGCTCCAAAGGAAGGGGAGGGGAGGGGGAGGAGAAACTTAGCACCTCCAGCTAGTGGGGGGCTGGAGAGGGCGGGGGAAATGCAGGCCAGAAGTAGCTGGGATACTTGGAGAGAGCCAGGCTCCGCCTCTTGACCTTGTTCTCTGCCCGCCGGGAAGTGGGGAGCTTCGAGGGATGGGGGCAGGGAACAGTCTCAGCTCGACCCTGGGCACAGAATCTCCAGTTGGGCGCATGCCTTGGGGTGTGGCTTCCTTGGATGGCTGATGGCCTTGAACTCTGGATTAAGGGGCCCAGGCCAGAGAAAAGCCCCAGAGACTCAGAAGCCTTCGACCAGGAAGACTGAAACAAGGAAAAGAGTACGAGGAAGCGTGTGAAGGAGCAGGCGCAGCTCCTTCCCGTGCAGGTCAAGACCCTAGGATCGCATTGAAGGAATCCTTGAAAAACCGGAGAGGGCATAGGGCTCAGAGGCGGAGCATCCCCTCCTACCTCCTCGAGGGCAGGTCGAGAGAGATGGTGGGAACCCGACCCGAGCCTTCCCTGCGACTCTGGGGGAACCGCAGGCCTTCTGCGGCGGCGAGGGCCGCGGGAGGCCCGCGCTTTCTCAGAAAGTGAAAGGAGTGGGCGGGGGGCGCGGCCGGGGCGGGGCCGGGCGGGCGTTGCCGAGGCTCCGCCCCGGGGCAGTCCCAAGCCCCGGGCGCTGAGCGTCTCCAGTCCCCGCCGCGCCGCGGGCTGGTGGGCTCGGCTGCTGCTCCGGTGTAGGGAGATGACCCTGCCCGGGCGCCCGACGGGCATGGCGCGGCCACGGGGCGCGGGACCCTGCAGCCCTGGGCTGGAGCGGGCCCCGCGCCGGAGCGTCGGGGAGCTGCGCCTACTCTTCGAGGCGCGCTGCGCCGCGGTCGCCGCCGCAGCAGCGGCAGGGGATCCCCGGGCCCGCGGGGCCAAACGGCGTGGGGGACAAGTGCCCAACGGGCTCCCGCGGGCTGCCCCTGCCCCAGTGATCCCGCAGCTCACCGTGACAACCGAGGAGGACGTGGCCCCGGCCAGCCCCGGGCCGCCAGAGCGGGAGGGGGACTGGCTCCCGGCCGCTGGCTCGCACCTGCAGCAGCCACGCCGCCTCTCCACCTCGTCCGTCTCCTCCACCGGCTCCTCGTCGTTGCTCGAGGACTCGGAGGACGATCTACTGAGCGACAGCGAGAGCCGGAGCCGCGGCAACGTGCAGCTGGAAGCTAGCGAGGACGTGGGGCAGGTACGGGCCGCGGGGGCGGGGCCAGCGGGGGCTGCGCGCCGGGGACTCGGCTCCCCGCTCTGCTGGGACCGGCTCGCGTCCCCCGCAGGGAGTCCAAGCCTCACTGATCGGGAGCTACATGGGGGGGCGGAGAGGGACCCCGGGACGACCTCTCGCCTTGGCTCGTTTTCGGGGGCTAGGCAGAAGATTGTGGCTGAGCGCTTGGGCGTCTAAAGGAGGGTGAGGAGTACGCGACCCACCGGGAGGGAACCAGCGGGCATACCTGGGTCACTGTCAGGTCGGGCTGGAGAGATCAGAGCGGGGTAGCCTTGCCCCGGGAGCCCGGGGAGAGAAAGGGGCGCGTGAGCTCTTGCCTCTTTCTCCTCCCCCTCTCGGTGCCGCGGCCCCACCCCCGCCGTTGCCACGGTTTCCCTCTCCTGAGTGGGAGTGGAGCGGAGCTCCTGGCTCTGCTCCGGAGCCGCTGCCGTCTGCTCCCCGAGCGCGCACGAGGCGTGGACGCGGGAAGGGAGGGGCGCGGGACTGGGAGCTCTGGAACCCAACGGAACCAAGATCCACTTGGTGTGCCCCCTTACTCCCCCTGGCCCACTGCTCCTAAGGGTGGTGAGGAAGGGAAACTGAGGCTGACAGAAGAAGACATGATTAGCTTGTTGGTCTCTGCCTCTAGTAGTGTGGATGTTCCGGAGCCGATTTAGCCCTCAGATAACACCGGCTAGTGTGAAGTGAAGTTATTATTCGTGGTGTGGCCCTCCTTGGACAGCAGGGCCATCCCTCACTTCCCACCCCTGTACTGGAGATTGAACCCAGGGTCTCAAACGCGGTGGGCAAACAACCCACCACTGAGCTACATCCCCAGCCCTCTTTTGTTTTGATTTTTTTTTTTTTTTTTTTTTTTTTTTTTTTTTTTTTTGGTTTTTTGAGACAGGGTTTCTCTGTGTAGCTTTGCGCCTTTCCTGGATCTCGCTGTGTAGACCAGGCTGGCCTCGAACTCACAAAGATCCGCCTGGCTCTGCCTCCCAAGTGCTGGGATTAAAGGCGTGCGCCACCACCGCCCGGCTCTTTTGTTTTGAAACCGTCTTACTAAATTGCCAAGTTAGAATGAAACACAGCAGGTAGCCGGTTCAGGCCCTGAACTTGGGATCACCCCGCTTCAGTAATCTCCCTTGTTTTAACCATGGCCAGATACCTACATTAACTTCCCGTGGACTGTGCAGCGTTGCTCTAGATGCATTTTATGCAGGCGTTTCTCGAGTGGAAAGAGAGACCGGGAACGCCCCACTCTGCTTCGGTACCCTCCAGCCCTGCCCGGAAGGCCGGGTCCTGGCGACTTCCAGTGAGAGTAAGACGCGCACCTGCGTTGCCTAGACGCCTTGAGAAGAGCGCTGAGGTGTGGCCTGGGCCTTCCGAACCCGGCATCCCTGCACACAGGGGTTGGACCGAGGGAGGGGGCTGTATAACGGCTCGAAGTACGGCTGTGACTCAGAGACTTACAATACCCAGAGAGGGGGTGACACAAAAGAGAAAAGCGGGGGGGGGGGGCTCACAGCAAGGCTGCCGTCCCTCCTCCCGCTTCCCGTAGCCAGGTGTAGGTGCGGGGGCTCAGTCACGAGCCCGCTGCGCCCCTCGCCCTGAGTCAGCGTGCCCTCGGGCGGGTGGTCGTTCTTGGGGCGACTCTAGGCTAGGTACTGAGGCGAATGCTGCCGAGGCTCCCCCAAGACCTTGGCCTGTGAGCAGTGGGAGGACCTCTCAAGAGCCAGAGCAGTAGATCGGCCACTCCCTGCTCAAATCTCTGACACCTGAGAGGCGGGTCCCCGGGAAGGGCGCGACCGGTGAGCTCGGAGGACCCGGGCTGGGGCGCAGGCACACCCGCTCCCCTGTCCCGCCGGGGAGGACCCATCTAAGCGCTCCGGGAGAGGCTGCGCGGAGGAGGAGGACCCGCAGTCCAAATCTGGGTGCAGTGTAGGTAGCCCAGGCAGGAGTCGGGACATGGAGGACTACTAGCTGAAGTTAGCCATCCCCTGCAAGTCTTCGTCGTCCTCTCCCACCCTAAGCCTTGGCGTCTTCGGGGAGCCTCCAGGAGCAGGTCCAGATGGCCTCTCAGGGCCCTTTCAAACTCCCAGGCTGTGTCTTCCAGGCTTTCCCAACCCCCAGCCCGCGGGGCCTCCCCGAAGGCAAACAGCCCCGAGCTGCAGATAAGCCTGGAGCTGTTGACAGAGGCTGCCTGCGTCTGCGTGGAAGGGCCGGGAGCGGACTTTGCCTCACAGCAGGCCCACAGCATGCCCGCCCAGGCTGCCCTTAAGGGCTTCCCCAGGCAGAGCGGGTCCCACTGACCGTTAAGGATGCACCTGGGGAAAGATCCGGTGGCTGCACTCGAGGGCAGCCTCCTAGCCATCATCTCACACCCAACCCGAGGCCCTAGGAGGCTCGGCCTGCCTCAGCCAGGCTCTCTGACCTTCCCTTTACTTCCCAGCGCCTGTACAGCCTGCTCAGGGCAGGGCTTGTAGGGCTGGGCAGCTTTGCCCCTCCAGCGGCCTTTCCTCTGATGGAAGGAAAATTCAGGAACAGGAAAGCTGAGCGAGCCAAGGGAGAAGCTGGAGACCTCCTCCAAGGGCAGGTGCCGTGGCTCTGAGGCCTTGGCTGTCTCCTCAGACAATTGTGGGGGTGACCCAAGCAGAAGAAAGGGCGTTTGGTTCTTCTGTGGTTTTATTCTCTCAATAACTCAGGCTAGGTAAGGAGACCTGGATGCTGTCCCCTCCTGGACTCAGAACCCCCACACATCATTTTCCACTAATTATAGAGCAGAATTTAGGTTAACAGACTTCCTTTTTAAAAAGCAAATGCCCATGGGAAGGTGAAGTCGTGGGTCACTTATACCTTAGTGCAAATCATTTTGTAAATTTAAATTGCTTGCTCTGCCCACCATCACCACAGGGAGTGTTAGTTTGACAGGACAATTGGAACGGGGGTGGGGGTGGGGGTGGGGGTGGGCTGGCAGAAGTTTCAGCCAGGATCCGTGACTATAGAGCGGTGGTTCTCAACCTTCCTAATGCTTTGATCCTTCAGTACAGTTCCTCATGTTGTGGTGACCCTCAACCATAAAATTATTTTCATTGCTACTTCATAACTCTAATCTTGCTACTGCTATGAATTCCAATGTAAATATCTATGTTTTCCAATGGTCTTAGGTGACCCCTGTGAAAGGTTAGTTTGTCGCCCGCCGCCCCCCCCCCCCCCACACACATACAAGGGATCAAGACCCACAGGTTGAGAACCTCTGTTATAGAAGCAGGGACCAGGATGGGAGCTAAAGACAGAGTAAAGGATGCGGTCTGGCAGGAAATAGGCTGTCTGGGTTGATGGGAGGAACAGACATCCCCAAGGCTTCCAAACAGAGCCTAGACAAGGGAGGATCTGAGACTGAACACAGCAAGTCCCTACCTATGGAGACACGCTTTCTGCTCATCCGTAGGGGTAAGAAATTATCAGAGGGTCCTCCTGTGTCATCATCAGGGAGTCCTAGACACAAGCTTCTTGGCCTTTGCTCCAAATATCCAGGTAGCCTGCGGCTGTGTGTTGGCTGGTGGAAGCAGCCTCTTCCTGGAGGGAGGGCTGGGCCCTATCTTCCCTGCCTTGTTTATGAGCCAAAATCCTCACCCACCCACCACCCCAAGAATGATTCTCTAGCAGGCTTTCTGGATACACTTGTTTGTGAGTGCATTACGTTCCCTGCAGGAGAGGGAAGATGGTAGTGAGTTGACCTCCACGGCACTTGAATCAACTGGTTCCATGTTTGACCATTTCTGTTATTGGCAAGGGAGCTACAGCTGGTTATGAGAAACCTCAGGAGGTGGCTGGGAGGCTCGGCTAAAATCACGGACATGAAAGCTCTGTGTTACCTGCACAGTTACTCTGCTACTGTTTGCTCATCTGGGACTCACAAAACCAAAGCAGCAAGAGATTTGTTGATACTGTTACCATTCATCTGTTACCATACTGTTACCAATCGCCCCAGTGGTGGTATATACATTTTTTAAAGATCTATCTCAAATGTTTCTCAGGCTGGCCTCAAACTTCTGGGTTCACACAATCTTCCTTTCTCAGCCTCCCAAGTAACTGGGATCACAGACATATGTCACCGTGTCCAATCATCCCACTTCCACCTTCAAACCCCTTCACCGAAACCACAGGACTCCGAAAGGAAGGACGGTGTAGTTTCCTCCCTCACACAGCCCAGCTGGCCCTCCCATCAGGATGACTGCAGAACTAGATGTATCCTGATTAAATTCATTCTTTCCCCACTCCCCACTCTTCCCCACCACTTTTTTTTTTCTTTTTGAGACAGAGTTTCTCTGTGTAGCTTTGGCTGTTCTGGAACTCACTCTGTAGCCCAGGCTGTCCTTGAACCCAAAGATCTTCCTGCCTCTGCCTCCTGAGTGCTGGGATTAAAGGCGTGCGCCACCACCTCCTGGCTCCCCCAAAACTTCTATTAGGCTTCTCAAGCCACCCGAGTCTTTCACCGTTAAACTCATCCTTTGATGAAGACGGTAGTGAGAGGCCTCAGGTCTGTCTCAGAGATCAAAACCTTCACAACACCCTATAACTGCAAATTGTTTCACCTTGTAAAAGTGGCCTGTCATGTGGTATCCCATTGGACCCCCAGAAGGAAAATATAAAAACTGCTAGAATGATTGGACCATGGTAGGAAGTTGGGCTGATAGAGAGCATAAGCCAGAGCCTGGGAGTCCAGAAACAGGGCATGAGGATGCTGACTTCTCTGAGCTTGCATTTCCCTGTGTAGCGGGACTGATAGCAGCTCATATTCATGCTGTATGGGCATCATGATCGTCATTCTGGGAATATCTGATTCTCAAGTTGAATGTGAGAGAAGAGTTTTAGGATGCTTCTGCTAAATACACATGCTACATCCATCACCTTCCTGGAATTTTACTTGAGGATTTGGGAGGAAGGGAGTTTTATAATAAAACTTGGACTTATTATGCAGCAAAATGCAAACCTTGTATGTATTTAAAGATTTATAAAAGGAGTTTTGAAAGATGTCATGTTTCTAGTGGGCTGCTTCTGGCTACACCCCCAGATCCCTGGGGATTGGACATGTGATCACGCCCTAGTGTGCCATGTTGGGAAAGTGAGAGCAATGATGACCGTGGGAGGGAGGAGAAGGTGCCTGGTGTGCAGTAGGCAGTCAGTAAATGGTGGCTCGTGTTAGGGCAGCCGCTACATCCTCCCAGAGGAAACAGGCCCACACAGATGATAGCTCTGCTTGAACTCGCTGAGCTAGAAAGTGAAGGAAGCCAGGACTGGAAGCGACTGCTCCCTCCCAACCCCACCTCTTCCTCACAGGCAAGGCTTTTTGGTCAGTAAGCTCCCTCCTCATTTCTTAGCACTCCATTTTGGCAAGGAGGCCGGTTTCTGGGTTCTAGTAATTCCTCTACAAGACAAGCACCTGTGGGACAAGGCTTCAAACAAGACATACATGAGCAAATCCCTGCCCTTCAAAGAGCAGATACAGGACTGCTGAGTTGGGGGTAGGAGGTAGAATGGTCCAGGGTGTGAGATGCTTTCAGGATTGAGTGGAAGCCAGAGTAATGAATGGCCTTGAGGCCAGAGATAACACCCACAAATACCTCCATTAACCTGCAGTTTTATTTAAGAGGACAGGCCTTCAGCTTTGCATCTCATCTTCAAGCCTTAAGTTTCTCGATCCAGATCACAACCAAGGATGCCTTGGGCTTTTGGCTTTGTCAGCTAGTAAGGAGTACATGGGATTCAAGGGTAGCTAGAGGGTCCTAAGGAGCCTGTTCATAAGCCCTGGCAGGCTGTCCTCCCTTCCCTGGTCCTGTGTAAAAGGTTGATTGTGATTGGTCTGCCTCCCCAAGTGAGGAAATCCAGTACCTAAATTTGGCTCAATTCTCTCCATATCAAGGAATCGGACGAGGAGCGTCAAACTCAAGCTATACTCATTTCAACAGTCCAGAAAGAGTAATTGTTTCCCCATTGCACAGATGAAAAACCAAACAATACACAGAAGCATTTTTCTCAGGCCCCCTGAGGCCTTGGTAGAAATGCAGATTTGTAGTTCCATCCCTGGCTTACTCAAGATGTCCCTGTGGTAGACCTCAGACTCAGCATCAAGGGTGGCCTCCAAGTGATTCTGATGTTCACGAAGTTCAAAAACCTCACAGAGCAGTTCGGTTACCTGCCCACTCAGTGGCAGGGCTGGTTTCAGCACCGAGCCTCCTGATACTAAATCTCGGGCTCCTTTCAGAAGACTAGAGACGCTAGAATGACCATTTCTCTGCCTGTCTCGGTACCTGCCGCGCTGACTCACAATCCATTTTCTTTGGGTAGGTGGGTGAGTAGTGAATGCTTGGATGAAAGACCTCAAACTGCTTCGCGTGGGGTGGAGTCAGGGTGAATTCTTACACTAGCCGGGAAGGGCTCACATGTTACAGAGATGCTGACCTGGACTTGTTGCTTTCAGAAAAGCCACTGGCAGAAGATTCGCACCATGGTCAATCTGCCGGTCATAAGTCCTTTCAAAAAGCGCTACTCCTGGGTGCAGTTAGCAGGGCACACAGGTGAGCATCAGTGCAGGTGGGTAAGGTGGTTGTGACAGGAAGGAGCTGGGCAGTTCTAACCGGTGCCCTTCCGCAGGGAGTTTCAAAGCTGCAGGCACCAGCGGCCTGATTCTGAAGCGTAGCTCAGAGCCAGAGCACTACTGCCTGGTGCGGCTGATGGCTGATGTGCTGCGCGGGTGTGTTCCTGCCTTCCACGGTGTGGTGGAGCGGGATGGTGAAAGCTACCTGCAGTTACAAGACCTGCTCGATGGCTTTGATGGGCCCTGTGTGCTTGACTGCAAGATGGGTGTCAGGTTTGTGTCCCCTCTCTGGGTCGGGCAGAATCGGGGCGGGGGGGACCAAGGAGCTGGGATAAAAGCTCACACGGGGGTCCCTGTATGCACGCTTCGTGCTCTGGACCCTACCTGCACCTCACAGAACCTACCTGGAGGAGGAGCTGACCAAAGCCCGAGAGAGGCCCAAGCTGCGGAAGGACATGTACAAGAAGATGCTGGCGGTGGACCCTGAGGCACCTACTGAGGAGGAGCATGCACAGCGCGCGGTCACCAAACCACGCTACATGCAGTGGCGCGAAGGCATCAGCTCCAGCACTACGCTCGGCTTCCGCATCGAGGGCATCAAGGTGGGTCAGGCTTCCCTGGCTTCGTACAGCTTTTCTTCTGCCCCGACTTCAGGGCTTGCGTGTCCTTCCTTTCCTGACCTCCTGCCTCACCTGCCACCAGGAGGCGCCCTCTGGTGGCCGTCTCTTGCTCCCCAGAGGTTAAGGCCCCAGGGAGGTACCACTGCCCTTTGCATGATCCTCTCTCCCCTCAGATGGGCCCGGGTCCCTGACACTCCTTGCCCACCTCCTTCAGAAAGCCGACGGATCGTGCAGCACTGACTTCAAAACTACACGAAGCCGCGAGCAGGTGACTCGTGTCTTTGAGGAGTTCATGCAAGGAGATGCTGAAGTGCTGGTGAGAAGAGGTTCCCAGAACCCTGAGGTTTGGGGGCACCTGTTTACAAGGGAGCCTCCTGGTTATTCTTTCTAACGTCCTTACCTATGCCACCCCCCACCCCCTACCCCCGTGGTAGCACTTCCCTTATTGTACTAGAACTGTTTTCCCTCCTCTCCTGTGTGAGCCACGTTTGGGGGTGGGGACGGGTTGTGTCTTCCTCAGCACAGTAATTTGGCAAGCTGAAATGCATGGTACTTCTCAATGTCCCTTGGTGTGAAATTAATTTGTCCACACTAACCCTTCCAGAGGAGGTATCTGAACCGCCTACAGCAGATCCGGGACACCCTGGAGATCTCGGATTTCTTTAGAAGGCACGAGGTAAGAGGTGGGTGGGCTCGGGGGCTGGGTTTGTGCTTTATGAAATCAGAGAATGGGAAGGGGGTGCTCTCTGGGAGAAGCAGGTGGCCTGACTGCCATGGGGGTCGGCAGGTGATTGGCAGCTCACTCCTCTTCGTGCATGACCATTGCCATCGCGCTGGTGTCTGGCTCATCGATTTTGGCAAGACCACGCCCCTCCCCGATGGCCAGATCCTGGATCATCGGAGGCCCTGGGAGGAGGGCAACCGTGAGGACGGCTATTTGCTGGGGCTGGACAATCTCATTGGCATCTTGGCCAGCCTGGCTGAGAGATGAGGCTGGGCCCTTGTCCCCCCACTTGGGCCGGCTGGTCAGACAGATGTGGACCTGTGGCTGCATCCCCACCATGCATGCCGGCAAGAGACTGGAACCCCGCTGGGCGGGCAGTTCACATGGTCCTGCAGGACCAGGCGCCATCCACTAAGGGGGTATCCTACCAATACCAGGAGTTGGCCTCCACACAAGCCAGTTTCCCAGAGCCGAATGACACTAGTTTACAGGAGGGGAAGGAAACAATGGGCTTCTCCCTCAGCCCAGCTCTTCTCAAGTGGCTTTGCACCTCCCTAGAGGGGCCAGATCCAGAATTTTATTTCCTAAATGTATAGACTTACTGGTCTACCCTCCTACACTACAGTGGACACCCTTCCTAATAAAACTCAAAGACACAGCTTCTGTGACTCAAGCCTCATCCTCTTCTCCTCTGGTCCTCTCTTCCTTAGTTCCAGACTCTTTCAAGTTCACTCAGAGAAGTGGAGAATGAGAAGAGGGTTTTTGTTGTTGTGGTTTTGTTTTTAATTATTATTAGAAACATCTGTAGCACTGGGGATGGGCCAGATGAAAGATGCTTATGGGAGAGGACAATCTGGGATTCCCAACCGAGTCCTGCAGTGGGTGGGTGTGTGATCTCTGGCTCCAAAGACAGAGTGTGGCCAGGCCCTTCCCCAAGAGGGTTTGGACTGGTTTCCAGTGTGGAAAGGCCAGGCTGCCAGGACAGCCCTGACACATATCTGACCACATGGTCATAGACTGCATAGACTGCAGGGCCAGAGGCTACTGGACTAACAAGCCATCTAGATGCCTGGGAAGGAATGCGGGGAGAAACCATTGCTGAAGTCAGCGCCTGAGTCTCCATCCTTGGGGTCCCTTGGGGTCCAAGAGCCATAGGTGGGGTTCCAAATGTTCTGAGGTCGGAAGCATCTGGATTTGAGGGCCTTGAGGCCAGAGGGCAGCCAAGAGCCAAGAAGGCCTCCTCCCCAGCTTTTCAAGTTCTCTGAACTCAGCTCCAGGGCCTGTGGGGATCTAAGACCTTCCAAGGACCTGTTCCCCAGCCCAGAAGCCCCTTCCTCCTCTAGAATGGGCCCTGGTTCCACCGGCAGGGGTGAATTCAGCACATCAGGATCCTATAAATGGAGAGTGAGGGAACAGGGAACAGACTTTCTTCCTGTCCTACAGAACCAGGATAGTTGGAGGGGATCAGAGGGATGTTCAAGAGTTGGAGGGCAGAGGCACACCTGAGTGCAGTATTGGAGGCGCTCCAAGATGCTGGCAAAGTCAGGGCGGAGCTCAGGTTGATGCTGCCAACACTGGGTCATGATCCTGTACCTAGAGACAGGCAGCAGTTTAGACCTCCTAAAATCTTGAGGGACCTCCCTCCCTGGGCAGCACTGTTAACTCACACTGGCCCAGGGCAGTTCCTAGGAGGGTCCATCCGGCTCCCTGTGACAATGAAGTCTAGGACCTCCTGGTTGGTATGCCCAGGGTAGGGCATATAACCCAGTGAGAAGATCTCCCAGAGCAGTACCCCGAAAGACCTGTACCGTAGGTGGGAGGAACAAATGAAACCCATCAAATACAGCCTCCTCTGCTCTCATATGAGGTGGCCTGAAAGGTTAGGACTGGCCTCAGGGCAGAGGAAGGGAATGCAGGAGGGCCATGCTATCACCAGGAGTCTGTCTTGGATGTGAAAATGCCCTCCAGGAGAGCTTCTGGGGGCATCCACTTGACGGGGAGCAAGGCCCGGCCCCCCTTACGGTAATAACTGGCCCTATAGGAAGGAGAGAGAGTGTGATGAGCTTCTCAAATGCTGTCAGGCGAGTCTCCTCGGAGCAACGGCGTTCCTACCTCCCCAGTTCCTGCTTACCGGTAGATGTCTCTTGCCATTCCAAAGTCTCCAATCTTAGCCACTCGGCCGGGGCCGGTGCAGCTCAGCAGACAGTTACGGGCGGCAATGTCTCTGTAGAAGAGACCAAACAACCACTGTGAGAACTCAGTTGCTCTGGTTCTTCCTCATACGTTTCTTTAAAAGTTGGATATGGGGGGTGTTCCTTGAAGGGACAAATGGGGCTGAGGGTCAGGACTGCTTCCAACCTGTGGATGAAGTGGTTTTCCTCCAGGTAGTGGCATCCCTGGGCTATATCCTGGGCCAGCTGCAACAGGTCCTGCATGGCCAGAAGTGATGGCTGGCCCTGGATTGGGCAGAAGACACATAAGTTGATCCTGGTCTTAGGACAAATGGTCAGGGTCTCAGAAGCTCAGAGAAGGGTCTTACTGGGTGTGGTCTGCTGTGTCTCAGAAAACTCTTCATATCCCCACCAGACATCAGCTCCAGCAGAATAAGTCGAGGGGCAGCCTGGAAGCTGAGGCCCACACAGCGAACGATGTTCTGATGGCTGAACTTGCTGGGTGGGAATGGTGCGCATACCCCGTCACCAGTGGAGAGATGAGCATGTTCTAGACCCCATTAAACTACAGAAAACCTCTGTGCCCTAGAATGCTGCCTCTCAGCCCTAAAGAGAGGAGAGGCCATTCCTGTAGGCAGGTCCTGCCTCCCACCACACCCTCTTGCCTGCCCTCAGGGGCACCTGATGATAACAGCCTCCATGAGAAAGTCCAGCTCATCCTGTCGGGAGCAGAGCTCTGGCAGCGTCTGGGAAGGGAAAGTAGAACACTCCTGAGATTTGGCTGGGTGCTTTAGGAGAGTGATTAACAAGGGCTCCAGTCCATCCCTCCATGGTGTCTACCCCAACCAGAGGCCCTACCCCTTCTCACCTTGATAGCCACCTGCAGAGGGCTGGAGTCCCCAGGAAGACCAATCACTAGTCCCTCATACACCTCCCCAAAGGCACCATGGCCAAGGGCTCTAGAAGAAAACAAGGGAGTGGGTGGTGCAGACAAGGTCTATAGAGGGAGTTACCCCTTCACCTCTTCAGTTCCCACGCCTGTCCAGATGACCCTAGCTGAGCTCTCTGGCTCATGGATGTTCTCAGGCACAAGCTTGCAAAGATAATGCTGACACGCAGAAGAAAGGGCAGGTGGGGCGGGGCAGGTGGGGCTCGAGTCAGGATGCTAATGTGGGATAAGGCCTCTCCTCATGCTAGCAGACCCTCCTGGAAAAGGGCATCCTGTGGGCTCCAGACAGTCATGTTCCGTTCCCAGGTCTCTGAACTGAGCCAAAAGCTGACCCTTTACACGTTACTTTGCCTTTCGGAGCTTGTGGGGTTTCCATCTCCTCTTATAAGGGATTTGAGTTGCAGGCTGTCTGGGATTCATAACACACCATGACAGGAAGAAGGATGGAGAAGGGGGTTCAGGGTGCGTATGATCAGAAGGAGCAAGAGAACTCACCTGAGTAGAGTGACGTTGGCCGGGGAAACCTCAGTGAGCCCTGGGGGCAGAGGCCAGGACTGGGCAGGGCTGAGCCCCACCTGGCAGTAATAGGGATTAGGGGCTGTCCTGATAGCAGAGGTTCGAAGCTTGCTCAGCTCAAGCTCAGGGCCTGGCAGCCTGGTCCCCCACAGGTTCTGCCACTTCTTCTGGTTCACTGGGGGTAAGAAGATCAGAGGCATACCCTCTGTCTGCACCCACTAGGCCCCCTCTGCTTCCCCATGCCCAGAACACCTTTCTAAAAGTCTTTTCAAATACACATTTTCCCCATGACTCCTCAGCTTCTACTCCTAAAAGTCTGGGGGAGTCTATCATTTTCTGTGGGAGTAAGCACCCTGGAGTCAGCTACACTTGCCCTGGAACCACAAAGAAACCCATCACAGCCTAGCAGAGAAGGGTCAGCCTGCACCAGTCACGCCTGCTAGATGCCCATACCTAGAATTAGGACTCCACACATCATAAGGAGGCTCAATGTCAAGGCTGCCACTATGGCTCCCATCAGAATCAGAGGGCTTGCGGTGGTTGGCAGGTCTAGGGAGAAACACAGTCATTTCCAGCAGGCAGCAGGAGGCTCCATTGTCCCTCTACCTCAAGTATTTTATTTTTTAATTTGTTTTGTGGGAGTTTTGTTTGTTTGTTTGTTTGTTTGTTTTTGAGACAGGGTCTCCCAGTATGATGCAGGCTAGCCTCAGACTCTCAATTCTGCTTTAGCCTACCCACTGCTGGGATTACAGATGTGTGCTACCATGTCTGGGTACCCTTAAAATCTTACCCATGCTTCAAGACTCAGCTCAGTGTTTACTTTTCCATGATGCCACCCACCTAGACAAAAGCAACTCTCCCTCCCGAGAACCCCTTAACTCTTTGATACCTTCCATAGCAACTGCCATTTTTAGATACAGTTCTATATCTAAATATCCATCTTGCCTCCCACACTGGCCTACATGTTCTTGACAGCGGAATGTACCCTAACGCATTTCCAACCCTCTACCTGGCACTCCATACAGTGCCTGGCACACAATAGGCCTTTACATTGTCTTTCCCAGTGCCCCACTGCTCCTACCAGCCTGTGAGCCAGCAGTCAGACTGAGGGCAAGGACAAGACATACCCATGCAAGTGACATTATCCACAGCCAGCTCCATGCCCTCTGGGCAGATGCATTCCGCCATCTGGAGCTCTGCCCGCCACTGGCAGTCTTTGAAAGAGCAGTGACTGCAGTTGGGGTGCTTTCGGATCTCCACCTCCCCGTGGCCCTCTGTGACTGTGAGCCAAAGAGTAGATATGGTGGGGTGGGGTAGGGATGGGACATACGGGACCTTCTAGCCACTTGGTTAATTCTTGCTCAGGAGTTTAGGGTAAGCAGCAATACCAACCACACCAACACACAGGGTGATGACGGAGCCTGGGGACTTTTTTTCTTCCATTGATTGATTTTATTCAGAGACAGAGAGAGGCATGCATGCACATGCTTGTGGATGTCAGAATTCAGTTTTCTCCTTCCACCATGGAATCTGAGCAACAAACTCAGGTCATCAGGCTCATGAGGCAAGGGTTTTACCAGCTGAGCCATCTTGGTGGCCCAGCCTAGGGACCTCAGTCAAGCCTATACATTGCATCTTCTGGAACCTTTGAGCCCTGAGGTGTTTGGAAAGAATTCATAGTAAGGATACTTGACTAGCAGTCTACAATACCTGTACTAGAGTCACAGCTCACAGATACTTCTCAAATGTTCCTGTGCCATTTGTGAACTGGGTATCTCAGCTCAGAGCAGATGGTACCTATGGTTATGGGTCCAGGGATCGAGGAGGATGGCTGGCCAGGCTGAGAGGTGGGGAGTCGGGGCAAATACCTGCCAAAGGCTGCAGGTAGAGCTCGCTGCTGGGGTGTACAAAGGATATGCCATCTTCCCCGTCAGCCCAGAGGATGTCAGACTCTGAAGTATCACCACCTTGAAATTGAGAGTGATAGTGGTTTAACTACAAAAAGGGGGAGAGGGGCAGAGGGGGAGCACACAGCTGCCTTGCAGTTGGGAAGCTGGCTTATGAACAGCAGGACAGCTAAGATCTCCCATTGTAAATCCTGTATAGCCTTCTCTACAACGACACTGCCTTACATGTGCAGAGGGGCTACAGAAGCGGGGTTTGGTTGTTCTGCTGAAACCCAAAATTCCAGCATAGCCTGGCTGGGACACCCTTTGTGTGAGCCCTGCAGACCCACATATTCAGCTGAGAAATTCAGCCCACAAATTCCATTTCTGTGTGAACAAAGACATGTGTTGTAAAGTATTTATGAACTGTCCAGTTCTGATAGACCAGGGGTTCCACTTCTTTACATCAATGTCCCCAAACACTGGACCATTAGGACCAATTAACAGATGCCCAACACCCTCCCCCCTGGAGTCATAGATTCTGGAGACTGGCCGTGCATTTCTCTTTAAAATTAAACATAGTAATTAATTTTTAATTAAAAAAATAAAAGTTGTGTATTTATTGTATACAATATGATACTTTGAAATGTGCATGCATTGTCCAATCACTTAAGCCAGTCAACATATGTACCATTTATTGTTTATAGTAAGAATAACTCAAATCTACTCTCAGCCATTTTGTTATTGGGACTAGAGAGGTAGCGTAGTGGTAGAGCACTTCTCTAGCATTCCAAGGCCCTGGGTTTGATCCACAGGCTGTATTTTATCCCCTATACTGACAGAACCAAAAACATTGCTATTAATTGTGGTCGCCATATTGAACTAAAGATAACTTAAATTTACTCCTTCCATCTAATAAAATTTCTTTTTAATATTTGACCATCATCATCCCAGCTTCCAACCCTGAATTTCTATTTCTTTCTTTCTTTCTTTTTTTTTTAATTCAGCCACCTACTTTTTTTTTTTTTAAACTTTCTTTATTATGTACACAGTGTTCTGTTTGCACAGCCAGAAGAGGGCACCAGATCTCATTACAGATGGTTGTGAGCCACCATGTGGTTGCTGGGAATTGAACTCAGGGCTCTTAACCTCTGAGCCATCTCTCCAGCCCCCTGAATTTGTATTTCTAACAACTTCTGTGATAACCACAGTTTGAGAACTGCCGCATTAACCCGTCTTTGCCCTTCCCCTTCCCGGCTCAGCTTGCTAACAAGGCCGGCCCTAAATTCCTTCGATTTGGGCAGAGTAAGGATTTGGTTTGATTTGGGCTTTTTTTTTTTTTCTTTTCTTTTTTCCCCTGGAGCTGAGGACCGAACCCATGGCCTTGCAAGTGCTCTACCACTGAGCTAAATACCCAAACCCCTTCTTTTTTGTTTTTAAGTCAGGGTTTCGCCGTGGGACCCTGGATGACCTGGAATTTACATAGTCTGTTTCTGCAAGTACTAGGATTAAAGGAATGTGCCACCAAGCCTGGCTAATTTGGCCCTTTGTAAAAGACAAAACCAGCCTATAGTCCAGCCTGTCCTCAAACTCTGTTGCTACTTAGCTTGAACTCCTTCTGCCTCCACCACGCACGCACATGCGGGAGTGTGCCACCACGCCCAGGTCTAACCTCCTTTCTAAGAGCACCTACTGGGGCTTGGCACAGGGGAGAGTGGAGCATTCCCCATCCATCCTCCGGAAGGCTCAGGCCAGGTTCTTAGGCGCTACCCTCACATCACCCACCTACCCCGGTAGCCACCGCCGCCGCCGCCCGCCGAGCAGGCCCCGCCGCCGCCCCCGAAGCCTCCAGCCGCGGCCCAGCGGAGCGTGGCCCAGGCCTCCGCGCAGCCCTCGCCGCCCTCGGCCCCTTCCCGCAGTGAGCGTCCCGCCTGCGGAGAGGGGGCCAGCGACGTCCAGCCGCCTCCGCCACCTGCGAAGCGACAGCGGCCGGCCAGCAGTGGCGCTGCGGGCGGCCAGCCCCTCCCCGCCGGCCCGCGCGCTCACCTGCCGCGCCTCCTCTCCCGCTGCTCCCAGGCGCCGCCGCGCGGTTCTCCAGTTTCTCCGGGGCCGCCTGAGTCCGGCCTCGGTCCGGTCGCCTCCAGTAGCCCCTCCCGCCGCCTCCCGCCGCCACCAGCAGCGGCTCTGGCTCCCCCGCGCGCAGCTACGGGGTCAGTGGCCGGTCAAGGGCCGCGCCCGTGGACCGAGGGACCCCCCCAGGAACCCAGACAGAGAGAGAAGCCTGGGACCCTAACGCCCAGCTAGGGGTCGAGGCGACCAGCACCCTCCCCACCCCACCCCCGTGCACCTACCCGGAAGATGTAGGTGGCACCCCCGCCACCCCCGCCCCCGCCGACCCAGCGTCTCCAGCCTGGGACCCTTACGGTCCCGTCCGTTGCCGCATGCTCTCCAGTGGCCCACGACTCTCCCAGACAGACGAGCTGGCTCTCCGGGCTCCCCTGAGCGGCACCAAGGTGGAAATCTGCGTGACCAGGGACCCCTCCTCCCCGTACTGCTGTCCAGGCAACAAGGACGCCTTCCCCAGCCCTCCGCCCGGGCGCCCCTTTCCCACTGGCTCCGCTTACTCCGGGACAGGCGTCCTCGCCCTGCTGCCCCACAAGGATGTACAACCGCTCCCCTCGACTGAGGAAGAAGACCGCCGAGAGGAAGATGCCGTGCGCCCGGGACAGGTGGTTTCTGGCGCCTTTGCCGCCCGCGGCTCCGTAGGCGGAGATCCTGCGGGAAGAGGACGCGGGGTTTGGCGCCTCCGTCCTGGGCCAGGCTGCGGCGGGAGGTCGGAAACCCGCGGCCGGTCGGGAAACTGCTAAGTGGCTTCGTGCGGCCGACTGTGAAGGGATGGGCAGACTGGGTTTGCAGTTAGGTTCCACGCGTATTTCAGGAGTGTTAATGGAAATGGCGGGAAGGGTCGAGCCCCGTTTGGAGCCACTGCTGATGAGGCGGCCGTCCTGTACACCCGCTAACTCGGGTCCTGTTGCTACACTTCTCGCTGGAAGGACAAGCCATCCAAGTGACTGACCCTAGGCATCGCTGCGGAATACTTTAAGACAAAAAGTGATGGTGCTCTGGGGTCCTGCTTCCCCGGACTGTAGAACCGTAGGCTGGCAGGAATTGCCACCCTCGCCCTTGCCAGGCACTTACAGATACTGGCCGGTGTCCGGCGCCCGCCACAGCTGCACGCCTTGCAGCGGCCCAGCAGCTCCCACCGTCACCGCCACGCTGCTTCCTGTGTATGCCCCGTCGCACTGTGTCTGTGTGGGCCCCCGCCGGCCGCTGGCGCCACAGGTGCTGAACACCCAAGGCCCCTGTGCGCCTAGGTGCAAGGGAGAAGGAAAGAGTGGAGTTCCTGTCCAGACTTAGGAATCTGGTGATGGTGAGCGAAGAAAAGGGAGGAGCCTGAAGCTCACCTAGAGGATTTGGGAGGGAAGCTGGCTCCAATCTACTGGGCGTGGGGGTGACTTTCTGCTCCTGGAAATTGGAGACTAGCACCGGCAAGGGCGAGGATGTTAGCAAAGGTGCCTGGATCTCCGTGTTGGAGCAAAGAATAGTTCCTGAAAGGTGACAGGGAGGAAGAGAGGTTAGAAGAAGGTGCAGAATGTGGAGAGACATAAGTGATGGACGGCCACTCAACAGTATCCTGCTTGCAGCCACACCCCTAATGCCACCCGGCTGGCACACACCAGAGCCTGAAGCCAGAGACCTACCACCCAACCAGGTCGCCCGAGCCCCGCAAGGTGTCTGCATATACCAGATTCTCCATTCCAGAGTTCTCGCTGAGTGACTTGGGGGCTGAACCGCGCCTAGTGGTATAGCACCCCCATCCCTTTCCTCCATTTAGACTGGTGTCCTTACTCCCAGGTAGTGCCAGGGGCCCACCTGATTCTTAGATTTGTATGCGCTCCGTGCTTCTCTGGCTGCACTCTAGAGGCACAGACTAGAGAGCTTTGGTTCGAGGCTGCCTTAGAAGGAACCAGAGACCTGGTCTGTCTCTGACGCAGCCCTGAATCTAGGTGTGTCTGGTTGGCTGGTACCCTGACCACCAGACAGTACTCACCGGCGGCTCCCAGCCACAGCAGCAGCCGGCAGGAGCAGCCCATCGTCGGATCCGTGGGTTCTAGCTAAGGATGTAGTCTTGGAGCTATCCCCACTACCCTGCGGACCTGGAGCTGGCCTGACTACGCCCACATCGGGGGTGGGGAGCAAGAGGAGGAAAAGGCGGGGCATGTGGGCAGTGAGGTCCCCAAGCTTCCGGGAGCAGCTTTGCTGAACTCCCGAGGGGCTCTCAGTCAGGAACCACTGGCTTGTCCTCTGGCTACCCTAACAATTAGGGTGAGTTCGTGGTAGGAGTAAAAGTTGGACCTATTCTATTCTTTTGGGATAGCAGCCTGGATGGCAGCTAGCCACATCCTAGGCAGTGGCTTCTGTGGTTTTCAGGATAGGAACAGAGTGAATGGCTTTATTGGTGGCAGTATTGGTGTGTGTGTGAATGATCACACATGGGAAGTATGTAGAACCAGGTTGGCCTCCAAAGAGCCACCTGCCTCTTGAGTGGTGGGATTAATGGCATATGCCACAATGCCTTGCAGAAAGAACTCTCTAAACTGTCCCCAGTAAAGCATTGCTATGGTTATCACCCCTGACACCTCAGGACGTGACTTTCTGGGTTTGTTACACACAGCTCCATTGCCCTGTGCACAACTTGTTACTGCCATGACTGGACAAGGTATCTGAGAACTCCGGCAGGGTAGCTCACACTTCTAATCCAGGATCTGCCAGGTGTAGAGGACCTAATGCTCAAAGTTATCCTCTGCTATCAAACTAGATGCCAGCCTGGGCTACATGAGACCTCCTCTCAGAAAGGGAATCAAATTTTTTTTTTTTTTTTTTTTTGGTTTTTCGAGACAGGGTTTCTCTGTGTAGCTTTGCGCCTCTCCTGGAACTCACTTGGTAGCCCAGGCTGGCCTCGAACTCACAGAGATCCGCCTGGCTCTGCCTCCCGAGTGCTGGGATTAAAGGCGTGCGCCACCACTGCCCGGCTAACAAGTTATTCTTTTTTTTTTTTTTCTGAGACAGGGTTTCTCCGTGTAGCTTTGCGCCTTTCCTGGAACTCACTTGGTGCGAATCAAATTTTAAAAGGTGTCAGAGGACCCAAGGGTTAGCACCCCAGGCAATACAGAGTAGCACAGCCACCGTCCACATTTGCCAATCACGTGCTAGGAAACTTCTGGAAGCCACACAACAGCCACTTACTGAGAGGGCCACTGGAATTAAGCCTTTAAATTGTCTTGTGTATTGTATTCTCTATCTTTTGTTCAAAATGCTAATGTTAAGCCAAGCATGGTGGCTCATGCCTGTAATTCCAGCACTTAAAAGGTCGAGGAGGGAGGATTGCTATGAGTTCCAGACCATCCTGAGCGAGAGTAACACTTTGTCTGGAAACAAAAGACAAACGAAACCTCCCTACAAGAATAAATTTTTGCAAAGGATTTCCTTCAACCATCTGCAGAGGAAAACTGAAGTTGTGCCTAGTAGGTAACTAACTACTTAGTAAATTCTGAGCTGGGTGTGGTGGCGCACATCTTTAATCTAAGCACTCGGGAGGCAGAGGCAGGTGAATCTCTATGAGGCCAGCCTGGTCTACAGAGTGAGGTCTAGGACAGCCAGGACTACACAGAGAAACCCTGTCTCAAAAAAAACAAAAACAAAAACAAAAAACTAACCAACCAAACAACAAAAAGCCAAAAATCCTTGAAAACAAAAAGCAAGCAGTGTGATGACACATGCCCACAATCCCAGCACTTTGTACATAAAGGAAGGGGGATTAGTTCAAAGCCATCCTATGCTACATCCGGAGTTCAAAGCCAACCTGAGTCACAAGAGACTCTATATAAAATAAAATACAGGGCCAGGCAGTGAAATGGTGATGACTGAAACGTTAAAACAGGGCCAGTGAAAGGGTGTTTGTTGCCAACCTGATGACCTCAACTAGGACCTGATGATCCCTGGGACCCACACGGTGGAGGGAGAACTCACTCTTCTAAGTGCTTCTCAGACCCTCACCCCTTACACACACACACACACACACACACACACACACGATGGATAAAATGTAACTTAAAAGGCTGAGGGCAGTGGTGCACACTTGTTTAAAAAAATAAGTAAATAAAATGAACTAAGTCAATTTATGTTTTGATCCACTCCTCCCACCAAGGTCCTACTAAGGGAAGTCCACTGTGTGAGGCTGGCGACGGCTCCGTGGTTAAGTGCACTTGGGTTTGGTTTCCAGTACCCACAGCAGGCAGCTCACAACCACCTACAACTACAGCCCCAGGGGGATCCAACATTATCTTCTGGCCTCTGTGGGTACCTGCACACATGGCATACATACATACATACAGATACATACACATAAACTTTAAAAAAAAAGCCCACTGAGAATGGCATATTGGAAAGTACTACATCAGGCTGACATTTGGCCTCACTGACCCCTGTACTTCCAGGGGCCTGCACAGAATTCTCCAGGACCACACCCACTCCCAAGACCATTGTCACTACCACAAACCTCTAGGACACACATCTCTGCCAACTGCAGGTGGAGACTGTTTCTACCTCCCATTGGGATGTTTTTCTCCCACATCTCTAGAGATAATCCATCCTTGCTACCAACTCTGAACAGGAAAAAAACCAGTCTAGACCAGCTAGACTAGAAAAGAATTTATTTCAACGGGTAGCACAGCAATCATACACCCATGTCTGGTAAGGACTGGAAGTGGGTGAGGAGAGGGGCTCAGGCTGTTCTGCGCCCACAGTGGGGTAAATAGGTCACCCTCCACTCCTAGCAAAGCCCTCGGAGGCCCCAGATCCTCAGCTCCAGTATCGGGATGTAATAAGAGTTCCTTCTGTTCTGAAAATGGCTCAAACAATGTGTTCTCAGGAAGGCAAGTCCCCCACTTTCCCTTATGGACTGATGCTCTTCTGTAAGAGCAGACTTCCGCTGGCAAGCCCCAGGAGAATATATCCATCTCTAGCTGGTGCCTAGTGCACTACGTCTTGAATCCTCCATTCTGGAGCACCTCTGTGGGCAATGTCTGAAGGTACTGCTGTCTCAGGTGAGGTAACTGGGAATACAGCTCAAAGCCCTCTGGGAGGCTGGAGTTGGGAAGCTTATAGTGGAGGAGATGCTGCCGCAGACCCTGTAGAGAGGGGAAAACCATGAAGTGGGTGGTGAGTCTGTTGAGGTTTGATTCCTTAAGCCCCACCCCAGCCCACCCCGTATCTTTCACCTTCCTAATACCCACAATCCTACCTCATCTGCCAGTAGCCACGTTTTCTGAAGCATACTCCTTCGGGCAGCCTTCACCTCATCCTAGCAGCATAAGATGTGGGACTGAGCCAAGGACTGGTACCCAGCACTGGCCTTGCTCACCTCCTCCCCAACTGGCCCACTAGCTCCCCCTCCCTCTGAACACTGGGATGTGACTCACTGAGCTCTTTGGGTCTTGAGAGAAGATGAAACTATTGACGTGAGCCAGGACTACAGTGTAGAGGACAGGGCACCAATGTGGGCGGAGTGCGCCGGTAACCAGGGCCCGGAAGTAGAGCTGCAGGAGCGCCAGGCTGTCTTCAGCAGGCTCTGTGTAGCACTCCAAGGGCACAGGCAGCTGTGATGGAGGGAAAGGATATGCTGAGGGTGAGGGTGGACATGAGCATCAGTGGACACTGAATGACGGCTGGTCACAAGCCACCAAATCCTAAGGGCAGACAGCAGGCCTAGAAGGACATTTCCCTTCTTCAGTACATGGATGAAAGCTAAAGAGCAAAGACCAGTGCTGGGGTGTGGCTTAGAGCCCGAGCACCTTCCTGGGATGCATAAAGCCCTGGGTTCCATTTCCAGCACACACACAGTATTGATTTCTTAAGTGTTTTTGTTTGTTTGTTTGTCTTGTTTTTTCCCCAGACAGGATTTCTCTGTAACATTCCTAGTTGTCTGGAGCTCGATTTTTTTGTAGCCCAGGCTGGCCTTGAACTCACTGAGATCCACCTGCCTCTGCCTCCCAAGTGCTGAGATTAAAGGTGTGCACTACCACATCTGGCTCTAAAACTTTTTTATTATTTATTTATCATTACTTATTTATTTACTTACTTATTTATTTGGTTTTTGGAGACAGGGTTTCTCTGTGTAGCAGCCTCGGCTGTCCTGGAACCACAGAGATCTGCCTGCCTCTGCCTCCTGAGTGAGGGATTAAAGGCATGCACCACCATGCCCGGCGTGAGCTTGACCACCCTTTAGTACTTTGTTTCTTAGCCTTATTTCCAGGAAGTGCTCCACAGAAATTTCTCAAGAGTCAAACTCTCCCCAAACTTCCACCCCAGGTCAAACCTATCTCCCCCATAACACCTTTTCCTTATGAGCAGTCCACTCTGATCGTTTTAAAAATTATCTGAATTCCGACTTACCAAGCCAAGAATCTGAGCAATTAAGAACTATGGTTCTGATTCTGCTCTCAGCATATCCTTCATCTAGACTGCAGGAGTTTATAAGCAGAAGCCAAACCCTGTTAATATGACGACCTACTCTCTGCCAGATTCCAGGGAACAGAACACCACGGAAGACAGGAGTCCCTTCTATTCTCTACCATCCTGACGCCCTCACAGCCCCCAAGAGGTAAAATGAGGAACCGAGGCCCCCCAAAGCTCCGCACTGCTCAGGACTGCCCCAAGGGTCCAGTACAGGGTCCTAGGCAGACCCTGAAAGGCTGAGCACATACCTGAGTCAGGGGCAGGCCCAGGGCTCGCAGGACTCCCACGTGTTCCCCAAAGAGAGCAAGGCGCAAGGTGACACTGAAGTGGCGCTGCAGAGGGAGGAGGACCAGAGCCCCAAACAAGTGGTCCCCAAAGGAGACAGCCTCAAAGTGGTCTAAGAAGCTGGCATAGAGGTCGGGAAAAGACGTCAGGCCAGGGAGTGGGCAGTCCAGGTTGAGGCTTGGCAGGACTTGGGGCTGACAGAGCCGCGCTAAAAGAGCTGCCACCAGATGCTGCACAGGAGTCTCTCGGAATAGCTCGCTGTCCACCAGGAACACACACATGAGCCGTGCCAGGCGGGCAGCAGGAGGCACAGCCCAGAGGGCCTCAGGGCGCCAGCTCTCTAGAACCAGCACCCACTGTAGGACCCGCATGGCGATGCCTACAGAGTCAGCAGCGGGAAGCCCAGAGGGAGTATCTGAAGCCTGATGGTAGAGATGTATCAGTGGCTGGAAGGGCCAGTCGGTGGGCAGCAGTGGCTCCTTAGGCACAGGCAGTAGCAGGCTTGAGACTCGCAGTAGCTCCCCACGGTATAAGGCCTGGGAGGTCAGCAGGCTGGCTCGGGCTGGTGAACAATGGGCCAGGTAGCAGCTGCGGATGCTGGGGAGATCCTGGCAAGCTTGAACTAGGAGAGCCCCTCGTCTACACTGAGGGTCCCCACTGTTCCCTAAGGACAGTCCATCAGAGAAGTCAGCTGCTTCTGGACCACCTGATGCATTTTCCCTGTAACAGGACACAAAAGCCAAAACTGAGGGCTGGGACCATAGCATCTAGACAGCTGCATCAGCTCTCCAGGGTTCCCAGATTCAGTCCTGTGCCTTTCCGCTCCCCGGATAGTCCCTCACACCACAATGTTGCATAGCAGTTAGGAAATGGGACAGAGGCAAGTTGACTTAAAGTTCTGTGCTGGGATTGAGGTGTGTTCTATCCAACTCCTATTTACTTATTTATTTATGAGACAGCCTCATTCTGGTGTGTTCCAACCAACTCTTGCTTATTTATTTACTTTTGAGACAGTCTCTTTCTCATGTAGCTGACCTAGATCTTGACGGGTAGCCAAGGCTGGCCTTGAACTGATTTTCTTGCTGCTACCTCCCAAGTGCTGGGAAGACAGGTGTCACCATACCCGGTCCCTAACTTGAATCAGAGCCTCGCACATGCCACAGGCGTCTACTGTTCGGCGGCATCCCCAGCTTATGCACCATTTTTTAGCCACTGTCACATGGTAAAGTCTTATCATTCTTGGGTCGGACGAAGATGAATAGCCTCATCTTCACTTTACTTACACAAATTAAGTATAATACCTGAAGGAAAGAAACTAAAACCTAGGTTGCTTGGCTCCAAGATGCTGTTTGGGTAACAAAATTAAGCAGTATCCAAAAGTGCCAAACACCGATGCCTGAAACCCCTGGACTCACGGCAGGAACTCCAGCCGGAACACACAGCTCAGCAGCAGCTCTTGCGCGAGGTATTCACTTCCAGGCAGCAGCCGGCTCAGTAGGGCCAAGGCCATAGCATGGTGGAGGGCAGTATTGGTGGCTGGCTCTGGTTGCAGTAGTGCCTGGGGAGGAAGAAGGGATCTTAGTGCAGGGAGGGCGGCATGGAGCATGCAAAGAGTGAGGAAGTGGACAGGAAGATGGACGACATGAACCAGGGTCTATGGCCTCAGTAGGAAGGGCACGGCCTACAGAAACAGGCCCGGCAACAGAGGCAGGGGATAAGTGTGGGATTGACTCCGCAGACAGGAACCCACCACTTTTTGGGCCAAGGAGAGCACCAGGTACTGCAGGTGGTACTCATGGCGCAGGGCCCAGGCAGAGAAGGGTGTGAGCTGTGGTGCAGGTCCAGGAGCCACACACTGGAGAAAGTATTTCTGGAGTCCCGGGGTAGCCAACACAGCAGCCAGCTGAAGAAACAAGTTTGCTCAGATCTGGAAACTGACTCTAATGTGTTCTAGGGCTCCCGGATTGCTGCCCCTCCCAGTCACTCAGAAAAATAAGGACTCCCTTCTCCTGGTCCCCTCCCCCTCCCTTCTTCTGGCCCCCTCCCCCTCCCTTCTTCTGGCCCCCTCCCCATTCCTTCTTCTGGTCCCCTCCCCCTCCTTCTTCTGGTCCCCTCCCCCTCCTCCTTCTGGCCCCCTCCCCATTCCTTCTTCTGATCCCCTCCCCCTCCCTTCTTCTGGCCCCCTCCCCCTCCCTTCTTCTGATCCCCTCCCCCTCCCTTCTTCTGATCCCCTCCCCCTTTTCCTCCCCCTGCTATCTTGGCCCCATACCTGGCCTCTAAATAGGCACCCAAGGTTTACCTGTCCCCAAAGCCCCCTGTGGATCCGGACCAGAGTGTTGAGAAGAGAGAGGAGAGCAGTGAGGAATGGGAAGGGTGAGGCTGAGGCAGCCACACTGAGAGACGGACAACCTCCTGCACAGCCCAGCGACACCAGGCTGGGGAGAGCTTCCGGAGCAGGAGCACAGGACAGCGGGTTGCAGAGTGCGGAGCAGTGCCTGGAGGAGAATGTAGATGCTGAGGAGATTCTGGTCTGGGGAATGCAAGTGGGGACCTGGCTGTGCAGAGCAGGGTTCTCCCCGTGGGAATCTGGGTTTCTTTCAGGCCCCAAAGGGGCCACATCCTGGGATGGATTGGGAAGACAGAGCCAGGAGCCCCCCAGGAGAGGAAGTGCCTCCTCCCCACATTCCCCCAGCTGCCCACACAGAACATACCTCAAGGAATCCCACAGATGGCCCAGAGAAGCCTGATTCAGCAACGGTAGCAAGAACTCGTCCAACAAGCGTTCCATGTCCTGAAGCCAATCCTCTGGGCACAAGCTCACCTGGAGGAGCGAGAGGGTCCCCGAGCTGATGGGCCCAAACACCCATTTTCCTAGGCCTGTAGACCTAGACCAGTGCCCTCATGCTAAGGGCCACAGCCCGACCTTTCTGAAGGACAGATAGCCCTGAGCTTGCTCTAGTACACAACATCTAGGGGAACATGAGAAGAAAAGACAGAGGCTGAGCTGCTGCTCAGGGTTCTCTGGTCCCATCAACAAGGTTCCTGGGAAACAGAGGTAGGAAGAGACAGGGAGAAGAGAAAAGGAGGGGGTGGGCTCAGTGGAGAAGCAACTGCCTAGCATGTGTGAGGCTCTGGGCGCCAGCCTTCCACTCTCAGGACCTACCACATTACACACGCCTACCCCAAGCCACAGAAAGGGAGAGAGAGGTGCCAACAGAGGAGGAGTGGACAGGAGTCGGACAGGAGGACATGGGGCGTGCAGACGAAGGCGGGCAGGCTGCACTCACCTGCTGGCTCCAGGCCTGATAGTAGGCACTCAGGAACAGCAGGCAGGCACTGGGCACTGGGCCCAGGGCATTCCAGACATCAGGTCTGGGCAGGAACTTCAGGGCCTGCTTTAGACATGGCTCGACCAGTGGCTGAAGTCCAGATACCTGTGTCCAGGTGATTGAAGAAGGGATGGCGGACACATAGGCCTCAGCAGAGCCACTGTCAGAGTGCCAAAAGGGACAAAGGTAAGGATCTGGCCGCCTTGTTCCCTCTAGAGGAGCATTCCCATTTGTCCTGGGGTTGCTGCTGGGCATGCCTGCTGGCAGGCTCAGGCAGAGCTGCCTACCTGGTGGATTCAGGATGTGTGCTGCTAGCTGCCAGGGTCAGCTGGGTAAGCAGAGTGAGCAGAGAGGCCATCCGCTGCATGGACAGTGGCCGTGGGGGATGGGTACTGAGCTCTGTAGGCAGTGTCTGCAAGGCCCGCATGAGCACTGGGTACAGCTCCCTGGGGAAGAACAACTGGCCTTCACTGTACGAAGAGACCAAGATGAGGCCACAAAGCACAGCCCTGCCAGGAGCTTCAATCTGGTGACAGAGGATCAGGAGGGAGAAAGCCCCAGGACAGAGACACCGTGCAAGGCTGGGTCCTGAAAACTGGGAAGGCTGCAGCCCTTCATGGTTGCCCCCAAAGGGGAACTGGCATCTGACTTCACCAATACACTAATGCTCTTGTCAAGCTGCAGTTCATTCTCTTCCCTAGCAGGGACTCCCCCTCATCACCCTCGGCCTCCCTTCCTTGGGACCTTGAACAAAGCTGAAGGAAGTCACAGGTAAGACTCAAAACGCACAAACAGCAGGGCCCTACGAGAGGCCGACCTCTTGCCTCTCCTCACCTGTAAAGGTCACCACCCTGGCCGTAGGAAGCGAGCACGGCCCACAGACGGAGGGCTTCAGTGCTCAGCGTCTCTGCTTCCTCAGGGGGCAAGGCCAGTTCCTGTGGCGCTTCGGCTACAAATCGGCACAGACGGCTCCTGAAGTCAAGGCTGCTCAACTGGAGATGAGCAGAGGGTGTGCTGTCAGGATTATCCACCGAGTATCGGGTTCTCTCTTGGAAACGGGCTCAAGCTGCTCCCTCTCTAAGTCTGTGACACCACACGGGGCCTATGGCTCTGGGCGGTGAAAGAACCTCAGCCCCCTCCTTCATCTTTTTTTTTTTATAAATGTTTATTTGGGGCTACAGGTGCTCCCATGTCACAGCATGCATACAGAGGTCAGAGGAAACGTGCCCAGTCATTTCTCTCCTCTTCCGTGTGGGTTCTGGAGACTGGCCTCAGGTCTCAGGCTTGGCAGCAAGTGCCTTTACCTGCTGAGCCCTCTTACTGGCCAGCGCCCTTTCCTTCTTTTTAGACAGCATTTGCTAGGTACCTTTTCTGCTTGGCTACAGGTGACGAGTGCCTGCTGCATGCAGCAACGCTAGACCAGGTTGGTGTCAGAGAACCCTCCCCACATTATGAGACCGGAATAGGTCCAGCAGACCCAGGTGCCCAGGCTCCTGCCTGCTGCTCGTTTCCCTTGAATTTCTAAGAGAGGAAGAGGAAGGTGGAGGAGGTAGCTATCAATTCATGGATCATGCTTAATCCGGCCCAAACGAGGCTGGTCTTGTGCCCTTCATCTTTTGCCCTGTGTCCTGCTTACCAGTCGGGCAGCAATATTCCTCCCAGCTGAAGCCAGGACTCTTAGCAGTTTCATGGCAGCGGCACAGGGCACTTTGTATAGACTGGAAGTAGGCCCCACCCCCATGGGGGACCAACTGGTAGGCAGGAACTCTTGAACTATGGTGTCTATTAGCCGAGGACACTCCAGGACCTACAGGAGACAGGAGGGAAAGGGAGGCAGAGAGGATCAAGATGAAGTTCATCAGCTGGGCACAGACCATGGGCACAGACCATGGGCACAGACCATGGGCACAGACCACGGGCTCACGCCTATAATCTTAGTACCCAGGATGCTGAGGAAGGATGTCCACAAGTTCCAGGCCAGCATGAGCCATATCATGAGCTCTAGGCCAGCCCTTGCTATAATAAGACCCTATCTCAAAACAACAACAGCAACAAAAATAACAATAACAAACCATAAAATAGAGAAGAACAAGCCCATGGGTTGTCTGTCCATTCAGTGCCCTCCTATCGTCTCACCCTCATGGCTGACTCCAGGGAATGCCGGGCCACACGGGTAAGCACAGCCAGGATGTCAAGGACCACAGAGGGCCCTGGGCAGGTCACCTCCAGCACATAGCGCAGCCGAGGGAGCAGGTTGGTAGCCAGGAGCCCCTAGGACTCAGAGAAAGAAACCATTGCCACATGAGGTGGAGGTGCAGGTCTTGATGACCCCTGCCCAACAAACCCGCCTGCTAGGTCAAGGACTGGAATGCAGATGCCCTCTACCTTGATGACATCGTGTCTGGCCAGGTCAGGTGGAGGGCGGCTTTCTTCCTCAGGGGTCTTCTTCTTTGCCTTTTCTGTTGTGGGTTCTTCCTCCTCACCTTCATCCTCTTTGTCCTCCTGGCTGGGCATCAGAGGGAACGCCGAAGCTCCATGATACCAAGAGAAGGTGCTGTCAAGGAGCTCCTGGCAGAGGATGGGGCAGAGGTGGGAAGAGAGGGACAGGCAAGAAATGGTTCCGGGGTAGAGCAAAATTCTCCCTCCCGACACACATAGCAGAGGCAAGGCTCCTAGGCTTGTGGCGTTGAGAAGAGGCTGCCACCTGCTCCCTATTCTCCATTCTGCCTGTACAGCCTTGGCAGAGGGCATACCCAGGATGCAGAGCAGAACCCTGCTACTTCCGAACCCACTCCCATCCCTGACATACCTCATCTCCAGGAGCTACTAACAGAGTACGAAGAGCCCGGACAGCTGCTGCGATGACACCGTCTACCCTGTCATCCAGAGAGAAGCGCAGCAGGAAGAGGAAACCAGCATCCAAGAGGAGGCGCAGGATACTGCCCACTAGGCGGTCTCCAAACTCCCCAGCCTGGGCCTTAGGGTCAGGGGATGAGACTCTGATGAAATGCAGAAGTGGTATAGGCCCTTTGCTGACCCATTCCTAGACTGACCCACAGTGAAAAGAAAGAGTCTACGATCAGGGGTAAGGGATGGGGTGGGACTAGGTAGGACCAGGCCAGCAGTCCACTTACCCTGCCGATGATCTGGGACAACACATGTAACGCCAGTGCTCTCTGCTGGGACACCTGGCTACGGGTCAGGTGGAACAGTTCCTGGAGAGAGTACCCTGCTCTCTGGTGCAGGGACAAAAAGTCAGAAGGAATCGAGACACAGGGTAGTGTCCCCCAAAGACCCAGGAGGGTGTCAAGGAAAAGGCAACTAAGCAAATGATATCTAGTCCTTGCTCTCCTTGGAGCCTCAGGCTGATAAAGAATACAGGATATGCACTCAGCAACGATAGCATAAAGCAAACAGGGATACAGTAGCTGATGTTTGCTTTCGTTCTTAAAGATTTGTTTATTTTATGTATATGGATGTTTTGTCTACTCGTACATCTATCTGTACACCAGCAGAGGTCATCTGATCCCATGAGACTACAGTTATAGATGGTTATGAGCCACTACATGGGTGCTGGGAATTGAACTCAGGATCTCTGAAAGAGCAGCCCGTAGCTGATGTTTAATTTCCAATCAGAAGACAGGTGTGGAAAAGGAATCTGTCTCAGTAGGTAGGTACGGCTTCAATGGCCCAGCATGGACTAAGGGTATGGACATTCCTTGGAGTGAGTCCTGTTAGGCTGTGAAAATGGCTATCATGTGGCAGCATCAGCAGAGTGGTAGAGCAGGAGTAAAGGAGGCAGAGCTGGAGGACCTACAGACTGTCCTGCCAAGCTGACGAACTAGGACCTCATTTTGTGAGCTAAGGAGAGCTGGGAAACGTTCCAAGGTAAGGGGCGGCTTGACTTAGGCCAGAGGAAAACAGGATGGCAGCCCCATGAGAGATGGAATGGCCTAAGGGAAAGCATGCAAGGCCTGGCTTTGAGTTCAGAACAGAGCAAAATGCCAGAGAAGGGACAGCATTTTGACTCTAAGAAACTGAGTGATGGCAAGGCCATGAGCTGGAACAGGGCACACAGGTCAAAGGCAGACCAGAGCTCCTTTTCTGCAGTTGTTAAACACTTGCCAGTCTTCTTGGGGCCCCAGACCTTACCTCTGCCTCTTCTCCATGGTGGTGCAGGCCCAGATGGGTGGGCAGATCCACATCGGGCGCCAGGAGCTCTCCTTGAAGGCTGAATCGGGCCTGCATTCTCTAAGAAAAAGAAAAAGACTTGGGCTTGAAACAGCAGCAACTTCTCAATACTCAACCACCTCAATCTCAGGCATTTGAGGATTAAGTCTGGGCTCCACCTCTGACTGGAAATGAGGCTCATTTCCTTAGGGCCAGGCAGGAGACAGGAGAGAAGCTGAGGGCACAGAAGAGCTATTTCTCAAGGCCCAGTTCTGGGCAGAAGAGCAGCAGCCCCATCCCACCTGGCCCCCTCACCTCCTGTGTCTGCTGCCGCCGGAGCGGGGGCAGGTCCTGGGTCCAGTGGAGCTTCTCCAGCTCAACAGTGTCCATGTGGAGCCACTCTTTGTGGGGGGTCATGGGCAGCTTCAGTGCTAGGGAGAGAGAAGCACAGTGTTCCTCAAGGGGCTTGGCTCACTGGTCTGCAAGATTCCCCAGTGACAGAGAGCAGCTGCCACAGGCCCTCTGCACTGAATCTAGCAGCTTCTACCCCCAGCTACGGCTAAATGGTATGCTTGGGGGCTGGAACCCCTGGGAACTGGATGAATGTTTCAACTAGAGCAGACACAGCCCGTCCTGGCTCCAGCCCCTTGCTGACCCCAAAGCCTTGTTCGAAGGAGAAAGAGGAGAAAAGGAAGAGGAGGAGGAACAGAAGAGGAAGACAGGCCAGCACAGGCCAGCACAGGCCAGCACAGGCCAAGGGAGGTACAGCTGTCCACTCTCTGGTCCCAGACCGCTGAAGGACAGGGACAGGGACAAAGAAGAGGTGGCAGCTATGCTGCTCCAGTGGCGCAGGATACCACATCCTTCAGCTTCCTCCCCCCACCCCACCCCCACTCAGCCTGCCTGGCTGGCCCAGCAGTCCTCCAGGAGCAGGAGGTTCCGGGTCATAATTCAATTTTCTCTTTTGTTAATCCCTAATGGAATAATCTTGTTTCTGGGAAATAAGTGTGTCCACTGGCCTCTGCTTCTGGTCTGGCATGTCTGAGGTCCTGCATCAGCTTCTCCCCTCAGCCTGGCCCTGCCAGCCCTGCAACACTGAGGGAAGAGGATAAAGCAGGAGCTGTGCATCCTCAGCAAGGGCGGGAAGATGGGAGGGAGCCGCAGTCACAGCCTCTCGGGTGACTTCTTGCTGCCTCTTCAGGTGTGGGGAGGAGTAGTGGGGAGGAGTAGTGGGGAGGAATAGGGGAAACAGGACAAGTAAGCAGAAGTGTACGCAGGAAGACGTGCCCCAGCAGAGGAGGACTATCCGCGCCAATTTACAGGCACTAATGAAGATCAACATTCTACCTCCCAGGGCAGAGGAGCATCCTCTTCCCCACCAGCCAGGCCAAGGAGAAAGCAGGTTTTTTCTACTATTTTTCCTTTTTTTACGTTTATTTATTTTGTGTATGAGGGGTAGGTGTGCATGTGTGTTACAACATGTGTGTTGGGAGCTGCTTTTCTCTTCCACCATGTAGGCTCCAGGGATCTACCTCAGGCTGTGAGGCTTGGTGGCAAGCACCTTTATTCTCTGAGCCGTCTCATCAGCCCACTCCCCTCTTTTGTAGCCTTGGCTGTCCTGGGACTCGATATGGAGACATCAGGCTGGCCTCGAACTCACAGAGATCCCCCTGGCTCTGCCTCCCGAGTGCTGGGATTAAAGGTGTGCACCATCACTGCCCCCCTTTCCTCTCTGCTCTTATCCATCAAAAGATGTTATCTCTCCTCCACACCTGGGGCTCTTGGCTCCAGCTTGTCCTCCTTCCTGGACTCACTGGCAGAAGTTGACATGATGGGCTCTTCTTTAGTGACAGGAACTGTGGGACTTCCTGGGCTCTGCTCCTTGGTGGCCTTTGTTCCTGCTTGCTCCAAGGCATTGCCATGTGATCTCAAGAAGGCAACCAAGCTGGGGTCTAGGGTAAAGGTGGAGAGAGTAAGAAGCAGGGTGGGTACTCCCGAGCCTCCTGCACACCTGACACCTGCTTAAAGTCTCCCAGCTCTGGGTGCCAAGGACAAGACAAACTGCTTCCCCCCACAGCCCAGGACCCCCACACTCTCCTGTGGCTCTTTAATGACACTGCCAGCCCACACCTGTACAGCCCCTGGAGCCTGACTATCCCCCATAGCCCCTGCTCTCCAGTCCTCTGGTTCCGGTTCCCATGCCTGAGCCTCAGTTTGCCACCAGGTCAAGTCTGAAGTAGCTGTGGTTTACAGGATGTTGAATAGAGCCCATTTCTTTCATTTTTTTCTCAGTCAGTTTGCACGTACATTTACTAAAAACTGAACACATGTTACGTAAGTGCTCAATAGACAGTGGGGAACAGGACTGACTAGGAGAAAGGTGTGGCACACCACCCTATCATGTACAACAGGAATACTGTAGTTACACCAGGTGATGAAGTATGGCTGTAATAAAGCACAGCGTGATCTACAACAGGCAGAACAGTCATACATAATGGGGCTGGGGGCTAGACCAGTCAGAAGCACTACATCTTAGATTTAATCCTGTATTTGTGTCTTAATCCAATCCACAGGACCAGATGTATAAAGCACCTTGCCTGGCATGTGCAAGACTCTGGGTTTCAACTGCAGCACTCCCCTACGTGCCCCCAGTCAATCCATTCTGCAGTTCTCACCATCTATGTGACCTGTGGAGAATTTCCTATATTTCTGAGCCTCATATTTTTCCCCTTTTGAGGAATTCTTTGCTTTAAGTTGTTACAGGAGATATGGGGAGGTTGTCTGTGCCATGGTGCACATGTGGGGTCAGAGGACAACTCAGTGGGGTCAGTTCTCTCTTCCACCTTCATGGGGTTCCAGGAATCAACTCTGGTCATCAGGCTTGCTCAGCAAGCACCCTTACCCATCTCAGAAGCTTCACGTTTTCTGTTGGTGAAGAAGGGTCTCACTGAGACAACAGGCCTCAAACTAGCCATGGAGCTGGGCATGAACTGGGGTCCTCTTCCCTCTACCTCACAAGTGCTGGGGTTAAAGGCCTGTAGCACCCTGAGCAGCAGAGTCACGGATGCTTTTGGTTTTGAGACAGAGTTTCTCTGTGTAGCCTGGGTTGCCCTGGAACTCTGTAGACCAGGCTGGCCTCGAACTCAGAGATCCACTTGCCTCTGCCTCGTGAATGCTGACATTAAAGGTGTGCAGTCTCACTGCCCAGCTTTTTTTTTTTTTTTTTTCATTAGTAAAATTAAGTTAATACCACATCTCTCCCAGGGGTAGAGGAATAGTTTAAGGACAAAACAGAAGAAATGCACGAAAGTATTCATCATACAGCACATCAGTTTCCAATGCCACTAAGTAAATAAGTACTCGAAACATGTCTGACCTGTACTTGTACATACTTTAGGGGCTCACTGCTTCCCTCCTTTAGGAGCTGGAGGTACAGTTCAGTGGTATGGCATTTGCCTAGAATATGTAAGGACCAGGGTTCAATTCCAACTACCAAAATAAACAAGCAAACACACAGCGAAGTGCCTGGCCCTCACAGAAGGCCTTCCCCAACAAGGGACAGCTCTTCCTTAGCTTGGCCCCAGCGAGAAGACCAAGCACCCATACCAAGTTGAGCCAGTAACTGCTGCTGCTCCTTCAGGATCTCCTCAGGATCCATGGCCTGTAGTCTTGCGACATTCTCTTCATGGATGGTCTGGACTTCCTGCTCAGCCGCCTGGCTCCTCAGCCCCTTCCCTGTGACCAGATTCGATCTGTGGAAGTCATGGCTGCCCCCTAGAAACCGGCTGCCTTTGTCCCTGGAGGAGGGTGGCTCAGAGGGCACAGCACCTGAAAGTAGTGTACAGTTTTATTACTCTGCCCTCCTGGCTCTACCTGGACCCTCTGGTCTCTTCAGGAAGGCAGCTAGTCCCACTGGACACAGAATGGAAACCACACAGCAGTCCAGGCCTTCTGGGGAGGCAAGGTGGCAGCTTCTCACTCATTCCTCACTTAAGACATATGGGAAGACTTCCCTCTGAACCATCAGATCCTGACATAGCCACCTATCACCACTTTACCTCAGGCTCTTTCACTAGGAATTCACATCATTAATGAAAACTTGGTCAGTAGCTTTTACAGTCTCTATCAGACACTTCTAACCCACCCACCCCCAATACTCTTCACCACTGAGCCATCTCTCCAGCCCCAGTGCCTGGTTGTTTTTTTTTTTTTTTTTGGTTTTTCGAGACAGGGTTTCTCTGTGTAGCTTTGCGCCTTTCCTGGGACTCACTTGGTAGCCCAGACTGGCCTCGAACTCACAGAGATCCGCCTGGCTCTGCCTCCTGAGTGCTGGGATTAAAGGCGTGCGCCACCACCGCCCGGTGCCTGGGTTTTTAATACTGTAGATGATGCAGCACTCAAGGATTAGAGGCAGAATTAATTACTCGCCCTCCCTTAGTAGTTTCTATATGAAATCAATTAAAAGTATGCTTGAAGGAGTTGTAGCCCAGGCTACCCTCAAACTCGGAGATCCACCTGCCTCTGCTTCCTGAGTGCTGGGACTAACGGTGTGGACCACCACACCCAGCTGTTAGTTATTCTTTCTTTATTTAAAAAACTTCTTGCCAGGCGGTGGTGGCACATCCTTCTAATCCCAGCATTTGAGAGGCAGAAGCAAGCAGATCTTCGTGAATTAGAAGCCAGCCTGCCTGATCTGCAAAGTAAGTTCCAGGATAGTCAGGCTTATTCAAAGAAAAACTACAACAAACAAACAAACAAAAACCCCAAAACAACAAGAAAAAACAAAACAACAACAAAACACCTAATAAAAATAATTGTTTGGGTTTTTTTTAAGATTTATTTAGTCTAGAACTGGAGTTATGGATAGTGGTGAGTCACCATGTAGGTGCTCAGAACTGAACCTGGACCTCTGCAAAAAAAGACAGAAAGAAAGAATAAATAAATGTACATTTGAGAGGCTGGGGCTGTGGCTCTGCTGCTAACATGCACATCCTTACTAATACACGAAGCCCTGGGTTTGACCCCTCGAACCGTATAAACTGGGCATGGTGGCCATGGGAAGCAGGAGGGGCACAATTTTAAAGTCATCCTCCATTACAGGGGAGCTCAGACTGGAATCCATCAGACCTGCCTCTGCCCCATCCCACCAGTCAGAAATACAAAGTATATTTATAAGGGATAAAAAAAAAACCAAATGCAAGCATTTCAGCAGCACTCACCCTCTGGTGGGTCTAGGCTGGGGACGACTTCCCCAGCTGCTGGGACCCTGTTTTCAGTCACCCTCCTGGCTGCAATCTCTTGGGCAAAGATGCTCCTCTTACCCGATGTTGCCGATTTCCCCTACAAGACAAAGAGAAAAACCTAAGCTGTTGATATTAATTACCTGCTCCTCCATAGCTTCTTAACCAAGGCTCTGGAACGAAGAGGAAAGAAACTTCCTCAGAGAAAGTAGAACTTCTGGGATATGGTGGTACACATCTAAAAGCCAGCGCTCTGGAGGTACAGGCAGAAAGAGCAGGAGTTCAAGACATCCTCTGAAGCCAGACTGAGAAGTGAGACCTTGTGTCAAAAGAAAAAGGAGGAACAGCAAGATGACTAAGCTGGTAAGGGGACCTGAAGCCTGACCACGTGGGTCTGATCCAGGGACCCACAGGCTGGAAGGACACAACTGACTCCCACAAGTTTTCTTCTGATCTCTATACCCAGGTATGAACACACCACACATACAAACACCAAACACACACACACAAAGTAAAAGTATTTGCTCTGGCCAGGCAGTGGTGGCGCACGCCTTTAATCCCAGCACTCGGGAGGCAGAGGCCAGCGGATCTCTGTGAGTTCGAGGCCAACCTGGGCTACAGAGTGAGTTCCAGGACAGGCTCCAAAACTACACAGTGAAACCCTGTCTCGAAAAACCAAAAAAAAAAAAAAGAGAAGTCTTTGCTCTGTAAGCAGGAAGACCCGAGTTTGAACTCCCCACAACCCATGTAAAACTGGGCACAATTTGCACATATCTGTAATCCCAGCACTTCTAAAGCAAGTTGGGGGATAGAGACAAAAGAATCCCTGGAAATTCAAAGGCCATCTAAGGCTGGGTATGGTGGTGAACACCTTTGATCCCAGCACTTGGGAGGCAGAGGCAGGAGGATCTCTGTGAGTTCAAGGCCATTCTGGTCTATCCAGTGAGTTCCAGGTCAGCCAAGACTACATAGAGACCCTGTCTCAAAACACAAAACAAACCCAAAGGCCATCTAGTCTGACATGCAAAGCAGGGAACAACGAAGGTTAGAAGGCAGGGAAAGACACCTGAGGTGGTCCTCTGACCTCCAGAGTTCACACATACAAACGTGTGCATACACACCAGACACTCATATACACACTCACGCCAACAGAAAAAGGAAGGAAGCAGGACTTGGACAGTGGACAGAGGTCAGGGTGCACTGTCTGCCCAGCAGCAGGAAGTACACTGCATTCAGGTCCCAGCACTACAAAAGAAACCATGCAATTCCAACACTTAGGAAGGCTGAGGAAAAAAATTCCTGTAAGTCTGAGGCCAGCCTCCTACTGAAACTGTCTCCAAAAAAAGAGAGAGAAAAAAAGTGGGGTGTGGCTGAACAGATGGCTCAGTGGTTAGCAGCACTTGCTGCTCTTGTAGAGGGCTTGAGTCCAGCACCCACAAAGTGGCTCACAACCATCCATTAACTTCAGTTCCATGGGTTCAAAACCCTCTTCTGATCTCCATGGGCACCAGGCTTGAATGTGGTGTACTTACATACATGCATGCTGGCAAAACACCCGTACAGATAAAAGTGAAATTTTTAAGAGGATTGGAGAGATGGCTCTGCAGTTAAGAGCACTTGCCATTCTTCCAGAAGACTCAAGTTCAATCCCCAGCACCCTCCTCAGGCAGCTTAGAAGAGCTTATAACTCACTTCTGTGGGCACCAGCACTTGTGTGCACATGCTCATCCATACATATACATAGTTTAAAAAAATATTTTTTTTGAGACCGTGTTTCTCTGTGTAGCCCTGGCTGTCCTGGAACATGCTCTATAGATCAGGCTGGGCTTCAACTCACAGAGATCCAGCTCCCTCTGCCTCTGGAGTACTGGGGCCAAAGGTGTGTACCACCACATCCAGCTTAGTTTAAAATAAAAAAGGGCTTTCCCAAAGTGCCTACAAAAGATTTATCCTGAGACTCACTCACTCTCCAAGCACTACCTGTGCTGGATAGTATTTGCCAAGGGACACAAGGTAGAGCCATCTGAAAGGAAGGAACCTCAATTGAGAAAATGCTTCCATAAGATCCATCTGCAGGGGGCGGGAGAGATGGCTCAGGGTTAAGAGCACCCACATGGCAGCTCACAACTGTCTGTAACTCCAGTTCTAGAGGATCTGACACCCTCACACAGAGTATATGCAGGCAAAACACCAGTGCTCATTAAATAAAGAAATCTTAAAAAAAAATCTATCCGTAGGGCATTTTCTTAATCAGTGACTAATAGGGGAGGGCCCAGCCCATTGTGGGTGGTGTCATCCCTGGGCTGGTGGACTTGGGATCTATAAGAAAGCAAACTGAGCAAGATATAAGGAGCAAGCCAGTAAGCAGCACTCCTCCATGGCCTCTGCATCAGCTTCTGCGTCCGGGGTCCTGCCCTGTTTACGTTCCTGTCCTGACTTCCTTCACTGACGAACTATGATATGGAAACGTAATTAAAATAAACCCTTTCATCCCCGGGCTGCTTTGATCATGGTGTTTTGCTGCAGCAATAGAAACCCTAACTAGGACCCACCTAAGGTGCCCCTGCTCACCTGTCTCTCCTGGGAGCGATGGAACACAGCGGGGAAAGCCACAGCACTGGGCACGGGCAGAGTCACAGCGACTGAACTTGTATCTCGTTCCTGTGGCAACAAAACACAAAGGAATGAAGACGCACAGGTTTCTCCAGGCTGAACCCTATTTCACTGGCCCCGGGACCCTCGTTCCGGGGGTTCAGGAACCTACGCTGGATCTGCTCTAGGTAGTTCTAACCTAGCCCTAACCCTGACTGCAGTGTGAAAAAGTCTACCTTTCTGCAGCACCCTCTGCTCATAAACCCCTTTCTTCCCCAAACGGGATGCCCTGCCCACCCAGCTGGCTTAACACGTACAATAATTTTAGACAAGACAGCGGTGATGTGCTGGTCATGCCTACTCAGCCTCTCCTCAGGGTCTTCATCCTGCGGCAGCGGGTGGCCAGGGCTGGCTCTAGCTCTCTTTGCAGGAGCGGGCACCAGAGCTGGGGGCAAATCTGGAAGATCTGAAACAAAGAATCCAGATGTTGAGTATATTCACACTTTTCTAAAAAGATATCTGGGTTGGGGGCAGCCGCAAATAACAAGACAGATGCTCTGGGCCCTGGCTCAAGCTGTGCTATCTTGGGTATGACATTAACCTCTCTGAACCTCAGTTTCTTCATCTATATAATGGAGCTGTAGAGCTGCAGAGCTGCGTGAGGTGGTGCACAGCTGGTCTCCCAGTATTTGCAACCTTAGGCAGAAGATTGCCACAAGTTCAAAATCAGTTTGTACTAAATACTGAGCTCTAAATAAGCTCGAGTCCCAGAGTGAGACCCTTTCTCACAAACAAAACAGAATACTAAAAAACAAAAAAACAAAATTTCAGCAACAGAGGTTACAGCTGGAGCAGAATTCAGCCACCTCAGGATAGAAGCGGGCCCTCAGGCTGACCCCTCTCTCCTCACGCCCATGCCTGCAGGCACTCACTGTCCAGGGTCACCACATCCCGGTGGTCCCGGAGTGGAAGCTGCTCCGGATGAGCATCACCACGTCTCCGACTTCCTTTCACCAGCTGCACTGCTGGAGCTGCACCAGCCTTGAGGAACTGACTCTGGAAGCGCAGTAGGTCCACCTCAGACTCTCCAGGCTTCGGTCTGGACAGCATCATGGCTCTCAAGCTCTACCCTCTGTATGACTCCTTCCAGTACTGCTTGCTTGGTGTGGAGACTCACTCTCATTCACCCCTGAAAGTAATAAAACAACAGCCTTCGCCGGGCGGTGGTGGCGCACGCCTTTAATCCCAGCACTTGGGAGGCAAAGGCAGGCGGATCTTTGTGAGTTCCAGGCCAGCCTGGTCTAGAGAGCGAGATCCAGGAAAGGCGCAAAGCTGCACAGAGAAACCCTGTCTCGAAAAACCTAAAAAAAAAAAACAAAAAAAACAACAGCCTTCATAACTGAGCACAGGTCATCTTCAGGTTTTCATGAGCTCATGTGAACTCACTCCTCATCACTATTTCCTCCTCCATCAGCACCCCCTGGCCAACAATCCAGTAAAATTATTTACAGGCAAGGCAAGGGTGGCAGCACACACCTGGAACCCCAGCACTTGGGAGTGACGCCAAGAGGGTAAAGAGTTCAAGGTTATCCTTGCCTACACAGTAAGTTCAAAAGCCAGCCTGAGATACATGAAACCCTGTATCAAAAAACAAACAAGAGTGGGCGTGGTGGTGCACCACTTGGGAGGAAGAGGTAGGTGGGTTTCTGTGAGTTTGAGGCCAGCCTGGTCTACCTAGTGAGTTCCAAGACAGCCAAGGCTACATAGTAAGACCCTGTCTCAAAAAAACCCAAAACAACAACCAAAAAGGATATATAGCCAATTTAGGTTATATACAATCTGTGGGCAGCAAAATTCTCAAAATATTCTCAAATTAGATGATATTGGTAGCAATCTTACATATGTACTAAAAGGCCACTGAACTGTGTACTTTAAAAAGATAAATTCGGGGTTAGGGATTTAGCTCAGTGGTAGAGTGCTTGCCTAGCAAGCACAAGGCCCTGGGTTCGATCCTCAGCTAAAAAAAAAAAAAAAAAAAAGATAAATTCGCCAGGTGTGGTGGCACGTGCCTTTAGGGAGGCAAAAGCTGGTGGATCTCTGTGAATTTGAGGTTAGTTTGGTCTACACAAGAGAACTTGTCAAAGAAAATAAACAAATAGGGGCTGGAGAGATAGCTCAGCGGTTAAGAACACTGACTGCTCTTCCAGAGGTCCTGAGTTCAATTCCCAGCAACCACATGGTGGCTCACAACCATCTGTAATGAGATCTGGTGCCCTCTTCTGGCCTGCAGGCAGAACACTGTATACATAATAAATAAACAAATCTTAAAAAAAAAAAAAAGAAAGAAAATAAACAAATAAACCAACAAGAGCTCAGTGGCTCAACCAACAAAGAAAGGCACTTGCTGCCAAGCCTGGGAACCTGAATTCAATCCCCAGCCCACACAGTCAAAAGAGGGAACCAGCCGGGCGGTGGTGGCGCACGCCTTTAATCCCAGCACTCGGGAGGCAGAGCCAGGTGGATCTCTGTGAGTTCGAGGCCAGCCTGGACTACCAAGTGAGTTCCAGGAGAGGCGCAAAGCTACACAGAGAAACCCTGTCTCGAAAAACCAAAAAAAAAAAAAGAGGGAACCAACTCCTGCAAGCTGTTCCCCGATCTCCACAAGCACTCTGGCATGTGTGCCTACCGCCACAAAATACATTAAAGAGATAATGTAATAAAAATAAATGTAAAAATACGGCACATGGGAGGGCCCAGTACACTAGCCATTTTCTAACAGCTAAGGGCAATAAGAAGCAAGGAGATAATAGCCAGGTAGATCAGATCCTAACAGTGCCGAACAATAATGTATTCCCTTTACTCTTCGTCCAATGCTATGCAGGATCAGATGTGATAACTATAGTCATGAGGCCAGTATAGAAAACATCCCTAACACAAGGGCTAAAGGTGACAGAATGTCAAAACAATCACGGGAATGTGTAACTTAAAGGACAGTACCAAAAGTCATCTGTGATTGGCTATGCCTGTAACCCCAGCACTCAGGAGGTTAAAGCAGGATTGAGAGCTTTAAGTCAGTTTGTGCGATAATATAACAAAACCTTGTCCCAAAAAAGGGAAAAACAAAAACCAAATAATATTACCCCTAAAAAACTTTTTGAGTTTTCTCTGGGCTGAGTGATGTACAAAAGTCTATAAAAGTTCACAGCTATAACCACAGCTCTCCAGGTCTACATAGTTAGCTCTAGGACTACCTGGATGACAGTGTGAGACCATCTCAGGAAAAAAAAAAAAAGAGCTAGACTAGGCTACGAGGCTAGGAGACACGTGTGTGTGTGTGTGGGGGGGGGGGGTCAGTGGCACAGTAAATGCCAGCCTAGGCTACTAGGGTAGGAGACACTGTGTGTGTGTGTGTGTGTGTGTCTGTCTGTCTGTCTGTCTGTCAGGTGTAGGTCAGTGGCACAGTAAATGCCAGCCTAGGCTACTAAGGTAGGAGACACTGTGTGTGTGTTTTAGGTGTAGGTCAGTAACATAGTGCTTGCCTAGTATGCATAAGGCCTTGGTTTCATTGCCCAGTAAAACACACACACACACACACACACACACACACACACACACACACACACACACACACACACACACACACGGCTGTTGTGGGTAGTTTAGCAGTAGTGTTAGAAATCAGTAAGTCAGGCCGGGCGGTGGTGGCGCACGCCTTTAATCCCAGCACTCGGGAGGCAGAGCCAGGCGGATCTCTGTGAGTTCGAGGCCAGCCTGGGCTACCAAGTGAGTTCCAGGAAAGGCGCAAAGCTACACAGAGAAACCCTGTCTCGAAAAACCAAAAAAAAAAAAAAAAAAAAAAAAAAAAAACCAAAAAAAAAAAAAAAGAAATCAGTAAGTCAGAAATCAAATACCAGCTCCACTACTTACTAGAGTAAAATTAGGCAAATTATTTAAGCTATTCCAAATTCAGTTTCAACTGTAAAATGCACAGGGCTGGGACACCGGTAATCCTAGCATTTGGGAAGTGGAGGCAGGAGGATCAGGAGTTTCAGGTCAGCCTGGGATAAATGAAACCTTTCAAAACAACAACAGCCAAAGATTATTGCACGAAACGTGCCTACCGCAGTACCTGTTATATAAACCCCAGTGAATGAAAACAGCTAGTTCCGTGCTACGGAAAGAAGCCAATGTACTCCCCCACAATCTCCAGGAGAGATTTGTGTAAAATCAATTTGTGCTACAAGTTACACCCTGAATCACAATAAGGATAGTTCCTACAAATTAACTCGGAAGCGAAGGAAGAACTAACCATGGATTTACTGGGTTTTCGAATTGCTTCTTACACCGCAGCCTTTACTTTGACGACACAACCTGTCCGGAGACTGCGCCTAATACTCTAGCCAAGCATCTTGGGTCACACACCCGTCAGCCACCGAAAATGAAGGGCTGTGCCCCGGGTCTGTGTAACACAGGGGTCTCAGCCACTGCTGTGCAAAGACTCCCAAGCAGGTTATGACAAATAATTGGACACCTTGCTCCTGGGTTCTCCGCCTGGGCCACTTGAAGCGGGTCTCTGCAGCCAGCCACCTACTCGAACGACGAACCCCTGGGCGCCGCCATCTTGCCCGTGCGGAGCCGCACTTCCGCCGCCGCTAGAGTTCAGCTTCCGCCGAGCAGCCTGGCCTGCGGCGATCTGGCTTGGCCGCTGGCGCTCTGAGGCTCCCTGTCCCGCGTTGAACCTGAGCCCCAAGCAGCGAAGCCTGCGGCATCTAATCTCTGTACAGACACTTGGAACACGCGCGTTTGGTGTACTGCACCCAGGCCTTTCCACACACACAGCACTGCTGGCAGAGGCAAATGCTGGCACAGATGTCCTTCTGCACTCACCACCGTGCTTAACTGCATCCTATTTTCCAGAGCCAGTGCTCGCAGTCAGCATGCAAAAGCCTGCACACACGCTAACGTGACCTCGCTCGTGTGCTTACAGCCAGAAGGTAACCGTGAGAGGAACACAAAGAATGCAATACTCCCAGAGAGTGCTGTAAGAATTGGGGTGTTGGAGAGAAGACCGGAAAGAAAAGGACCTTGTCATCAAGGTTACCCGCTTCCTAAGCATCTTGCCTTTGTTCATGCCAGTCTCCTTTCTTGGGAATTCAACCCCTTTTCCCTGCCACCCGCTCCCAAAAGTCTTTCCCCTTTAAGGTCTAGCCAGGGTCAACAGTAAAACCTTTACACATCAGGTCTGCTCACTGAACTGAACTGAACTTGGATGGTCTGAAATCCAAGCACCTGTAACAATTACTGGTTACCTTTTCACCAGAGAACTTCTTTCAGCCTTGTGACATGGAAGGTTTGGGTAATCCCAGTACCTGGGGGATTGATAGTGGAGGATGACAGATTCAAGATCTGCCTGGGCTACAAAGTGTGACCCTGTGTGTGGTGTTGTTGTTTTTATTTTATCTTTTTGGTTTTTTTGAGACAGAGATTCTCTGTGTAGCCTTGGCTGTCCTGGAACTCACTATGTAGAACATCCACCTGCCTCTACCTCCAGAATGCTGGGATTAAAGACATGAGTTACCACCACCTGGTTTTGAGACCCTGTATTTTATTTTTAGATTTATTTATTTCCTTTTAAGCAGGGCGGTGGTGGCACACGCCTTTAGTCCCAGCACTCAGGAGGCAGAGGCAGGTGGATCTTTGTTAGTTCTAGGCCAGCCTGGTTTACAGAGTGAGTTCTAGGACAGCCAGGGATACACAGTGAAACCCTGTCTCAAAACAAAAGAAAAACCTTTTAAATATACAATTTTTTTTGCCTGCATGTATATGTGTGTACCATGTGCATGCCTGGTGCCCTGAGAAGCCAGAAGAGGGAGTCAGATTCCCTGGAACTGTAGTTACAGATGGTTGTAAGCTACCATGTGGGTGCTGGGAATCAAACCCAGGTCCTCTGGAAGAGCAACAGGTGATCTTTACAAAAATGTTTTTGTATGTATTCATTTAATCGTATAAGTGTATAAGAATTTTGCTTGCACGTGTGTATATTTACCACTTGTGTGCCTGAAGCCCCAGGAATTAAAAAGAGGGTGTCAAGAGGGTACTGGATATCCTGGAACTGGAGACAGCTGTGAGTTCCTATGTGAATGCTAGAAGCCAAACCTAAGTCCTTTGCAAGTGCAAAAGTGCTCTTAACTGATGAGCCATCTCTAGCTCAAGGCTCTGTTTTGATAAAATAAAAAGTCCTGTTGCCAGGCAGTGGTGGCACACACCTTTAATCCCAGCACTCAGAAGGCAGAGGCAGGTGTATCTCAGTGAGTTTGAGGCCAGCCTGGTCTACAGGCGAGTTCCAGGACAGCCAGGACTGTTACACAGAGAAACCCTGTCTCAAATCAACAACAACAACAAAAAACAAACGAACAACAATAACACACATTGATAAGCCTCACTCACCCTCAGAGCTTCTGACTCACTAGACCTCTAATGGGACCTAGAGTTTGTACTCCTAACAAGTTTTTCAGGTAGTGCTGATGGTCAAGAGTGACCTCAAATCTGTGGAACCCTTCACAGATTCTCCACACTGTGAACTTCGGCTACTAGGATTTAGCCAGCCTTCAGATTTCAAACAGTACAAGACCTAATAGGAAGTTCTGGAAGTGGGGGAAGGGACTGGCACAAAGACTGCAGAATGAAAGAGAGGAGGAAGCCGGGCGGTGGTGGCGCACGCCTTTAATCCCAGCACTCGGGAGGCAGAGCCAGGCGGATCTCTGTGAGTTCGAGGCCAGCCTGGTTTCCAAAGCGAGTTCCAGGAAAGGAGCAAAGCTACACAGAGAAACCCTGTCTCGAAAAACCAAAAAAAAAAAAAAAACCAAGAAAGAGAGGAGGAAACCATAGCTCAATAAAATAATGGATCCAGAGACTGGAGAGATGGCTCAGTGGTTAAGAGCACTGCTGCTCTTGCAGAGGACCCGGGTTCAATTCCCAGCACTGACATGGCAGCTCACAACTGTCTATAACTCCTGTTCCAGAGGATCTGATGCCCTCATACATGCAGGCAAAACACCAATGTACATAACAATCTACCAACTAACTACACCCCGATCAGTTTGTTTTTGAATCTTCACAAGGTCTAATGTAAAGCTCAGCTGGCCTTGAATTTACTGTGAAACCAAGGATGACCTTGAATTTTCCGATCCTCTTGCCTCCACCCCCCAGTGTTGGGAGCCACCACTCCCAGCCTTTACTGACAAGCCTCAGCATCATAAAGGTGAGACAGTGGCACACAACTCCTCTTTTGATGTGATGATGGCTTGGAAGTACCAAACATTGAAGAATCCCTGTCCCAAAAAATCAGAATAGAGCCGGGCGGTGGTGACACATGCCTTCAATCCCAGCACTCAGGAAGCAGGTGGATCTCTGTGAGTTCAAGACCAGCCTGGTCGACAGAGCGAGTTCCAGGACAGCCAGGGCTACATATAGAGAAACCCTGTCTTGAAAAACAAAACAAAACAAAACTCACCCCAACACCCACCTCATCTGTAAACTGCTGGAGCATGTGAAGGGACTGGACCTGCAGATCCAAAGCTGCAGGATCTCAGGGCAACAACGGGACATCCAAGAGGAGCCCCAGTGAAGGCCAGGTATTGATAGTGTAGCAGAAGCCAGAGGCCTTGAACCAGATCAATGACTCATTGCAGTGAACATTTACAAGAAAAGATATATGGACTAAGGGATATACTGAGTGACTCACTGGGCCACACTACAGCTTCCACACTGAGATTTTGTTTGCTTGTTTGATTTGTCGGTTGGGTTGGTTTGGTTTTACTTTTAAATTTTGTTTTGTGGGGAGGTTGCAAGGACAGAGGGCAGAATCGAGGGGATGGTAAATGAGTGGGATCAGATGCACGATGTGAAATACACAAAGAGTCAATAAAAAGTTTTAAAAAAAATTGGAATACAGCCAAGCATTAGGACCTAGCAGTACAGGAACATAATATACAATGACCCAATACAATTAGCTAAATTCAATTATGGATAAAGAACATAGGAATAAACCAGTGACCAGTTTCTTTTGTTAACTGCATGTCTAGGAGAGAAAGGAGAATCTTTTGTAGATTTAAAATTACTTAAGGAGCTATCTTAAACTGAATATGTGGTCCTTGTTTGTGTCCGTTACTGTTACTGCTTCATTAAGACAGGGCAGCCCAGGCTTCCGTGAAACTTGCTAAGTTGTTTAGCCTCAAATTCTTGGAAATCCCCTTGCCTCAGACTCCATAGTGTTGGGATTATGAGCCACTAACCCACTGGTGGCCTTTTGTTATTATTTTATTTCTATATATGTGTGCCTGTCGTTGGAGATACGTGCATGTGAGTGACGCTGCCTGTAGAGGCCAGAGGTGTTAGATACTCCTGCAGCTAGAGTTCCAGGTAGCTGTGAAGCTGCTTGATGTGGCTGCCAGGACTTGAACTCTTCCTCTGGAAGAGCAGTGTGTGCTCTTTTGTGGTTTGGTTTTGTTTGTTTTTGTTGTTTTGTTTTGTTTTTTGAGACAAGGTTTCTCTGAGTAGCCCTGGCTGTCCTGTGACTAGCTCTGTAGACCAGGCTGGCCTCAAACTCAAAAATATCCATCTGCCTCTGCTTCTTGAGTGTTGGAATTAAAGGTATGCACCACCACCGCTCTGCTAACTAACAATTTCTTAAGTATTTTGGGAGTTGGGATTCCTGAGAATTGAACCCAGGGTTTGGAGCATAATAAGTATGCTTTTTACTACTGAGCTGCATCCCCAGTTGAATTTTCTAGATATTTTATGGGTTTTGTTAGCTTTTTTTGCAGTTTAGAGTAGTACTGGTAGGGAATATTGTAGAATGTTTCTTAGGATTTGACAGATCCCAAAGAAACCAGGGACAAGTCTAATTCAGTACCTGTGGCTCCTCCCAACACTTCTCACCGTGCCCCCTACGCTAAGCCTCTCCAGCCCGGGGGCTGGCCTTCCCTCCCCAGCTTCTGATTCCTATATAATCCAGCCATTTTGGCCTTGTGCTCTCTTGGCTCCTGACTGGCTTCCTCTTTGCCCTCTTGGCTTTCTTCTCTCTCTCTTCTCTTCCTCCCCTAACATCCCCCGCCCCATCTCCTCTCATGACCTGGTTCAGTCTGGACCCTTCCAGAGGCCTCTGGCTGAACTCTCTACAATCTACCTTTTCCAACCATACTGAGGAGCAGCCATGTTCTCACTTCCATTTAGGATTGTTCTGACGTTTCTTTCAGGATTAGATTTAGGTTCTAGGCTTTTGGTTTTTTGTTTTTTGTTTTTCTTTTTCGAGACAGGGTTTCTCTGTGTAGCTTTGCGCCTTTTCCTGGAACTCGCTTTGGAGACCAGGCTGGCCTTGAACTCACAGAGATCCACCTGCCTCTGCCTCCCGAGTGCTGGGATTAAAGGCGTGCGCCACCACCTCCCGGCTTGGTTTTGTTTTTTGAGACAAGGTCTTTGTTGCTCAGGCCGTTGTTAAGGCTGATACTGAACTCTTAGGCTCAAGTGAATTACTTACCTAGCTCCAAGAGTAGCTGGAAATACAGGCATATATCAAAGGGCTCAATTTGGGGTATAGGACTTTTTATTTGTTTTGACTTTTGTGTATGAGTATTTTGCCTGTATGTATGTCCATGCACTAGGTGTGTGCAGGGTCTGCAGAGACCAGAAGAATCCCCCGAGACTGGAGTTGCAGATGATTGTGAGCCCTCATGTGGGTGCTGGGAATTGACTCCAAGTCCTCAGGAAGAACAGTTAGTGTTTTTAAACACTGAGCCATCCTTCCAGCCCACTGGTTTGGGATTCTTTTGAAACGGGGTCTTTGTCACC